CCTGGAGAGACCATTATCTGCCAGTTAATGTGGGCTTCCATAACGCTAAATGCTCTTCACCAAGAAAGACCTTTTTAATTGTGTGTTGGTGCATGGTGTAGGCTATGTATTTGTGTAGTTAGTTTAAAAATGTATGTTAAATAAACCTCACATTACCAGTGAATCCTAATTACATGATGTGATTTTTAATTAATGCATATTTTTGAACACGTTGTATCTTAAAATGTATTATTTAATTAAAATATCTATGTTATATTTTTAATGTGCAACAAGTGAACATTGGGAACAAGCTCAACATGTGCTCAACAATAATTTACATAGCCAGTTATGAAAAATGGAGGAGATTTATCAAATCGAAAACTAAAGGAGAAAAACAGACTGCCTATATGTGCTTTTTTGGATATCCAGGGTGGCAACCAATATAGCCAGAACATACATACATGTGACAATATTTCAGGTGGGGATCATCAACATTTGCTTCTTAGACATCCTAAAGACTGTAAAAATACAAAAGTTAGAAAACATTTATCAGAAGGGTCCATAGGGGAGGAGTTCCAGTGATCCAATGTCACCATTTTTTGACATTTTTTGGTGTTTATTTGAGTTTTTAATGCACTATACATCATCTAATCAAGACAATCCTCGTATCTATCAATTCCTCATGCAAAGACGAAGAGAAAATGGGGTAGATTGTGTCTGTAGGATGTATTGTTCAGATTCTATGTAGGTTTAAAGTTTTCATTTTCCGCAGCCAAAAATCAAGCACGGACACAAAAGATGATACAAAAAATCACATATGGGACAAAAATTTGCGCGGGGAACATCAAAATTCATTTTCTAGACACCTTAAGGATTACAACTTTCGGGTGCAGGTGAACCCCCCCTTCCTACCCTACTATATGTCCTTTTGATTTCTTGCAGGTTAGGCCGTTGTTGGCCGGAACACGCTAGCATTCTGCTATGGGCTATATGCACGCATAAGTTCCGCATTTGACGCAAGGATGCTCGTCCATTTCCGGTTGTGTAGATTAAAGCGGAGGAAAACCGGAGAAAACGGGATTATGGCAGAGTCTTCAATATTTACTGTCCTCCCGTCTTTGAAACGAAACGTACATACGTTTAGATGTAATTTTATATATAGTTATGTTTATTTAATGTAATTTTTAAAAGAAGCATAAACACAACGAGGGGTGTCTGTTTTATCTGTTTTTGTGACTAACGTTTCTTTAGTATAACCATGGAGTATAAAATTCAATATAAATTCTCGGTATTGCATTGGACTCTACGATCGGCGGAAGTTATCGAGCATCCCTAATGCTTCACCGGAAATAACGCCATGCATAGAGCCCGTTGTGTGACATCACATTTTTGAACGGATTTTTAGAAGAGATAAGTGAACTTAAAAATGCAAGTGTATTTTCTTAGCCCTCCCTTTTGAATGCAACTTTCAAATTACTTGACAAAAAATTACCTCCTGAGAAAAGTGGATTTCTGGGGGTGAAACCCCATTGACTCCCATTCATTCTGCACTCGACCGTGAGCGCCCCCGCATGGACAGAGACGCATTACTGCAGCCAGTCCAGAACCCGGAAGTAACCAGCCAGTGCCAATTCTCTTCAATTAGACATTCTCTGGTGTAAACAAACACGCGAATCTGTGAAGATGATGACATCATGCACATGCATACCCAGATAGCAAACTGACATTGAATCAACGTGGAAATATGACATCGAAACAACGTTGATCTGACATGGTTTTGCTCATCGAATTAACGTTGAACCAACGTCAGACGCGTCATTCTTTCAAAACTAACGGAAAATCAACTTGAAATCAACGCGTTGTTTCAACGTTATGAAAGCAAACCAATTTTCGATTTTCATTTAGCTTTGAAGAATGCCGCGTCTGACGTTGGTTCAACGTTAATTCGATGAGCAAAATCAACGTTGTTTCAATGTCATGAGAGACGTCGTTTCCACGTTGATTCAATGTCAGTTTGCTGTCTGGGTATTACCTGTTCAGTGTCTACAGTGTTTCATCGCCATCTAGTGGCCTGGAGCAGAATACAGCGCTTCACACAGCGCACACTGTGGTGGAGGAGGGATCCCCTGATATGATTGTAAAGCGCTTTGGGTGTACAGCAGCACATATGAAAGAGCTATATAAACGCCTTATTTGTTCATTCTTAGGTCGGTTTCGCGTGTGAATGGGGATTGTTTTGACAATAATGTCGTGCTGAAAACACAAAGGAAAAACTTCTTTGTTTTAAGTATATCGTTGTTGTGTAAACGTACCCTAAGTAATAGTCACAGTTAATGTTGTATAAAGAATCTAAGCTGTTGTAGTTCTGAAAGAAGGGATTTTTTGGAAACAGCATGCCGACTAAAAGCAGGAGCCGCTGGATTCCCAGGAGCTTCTGCATCTCCTCCGTCTGTGTGTCCCAGATCTTCAGGACCTTCTCAGATCTTCTGTCCTCTGCGTGTCTCAGCATGAACATGACGTCTGAGACGGTTCTTGTCTGTCAGACTCCGGCTTCAGCACCAGTGGAAGACCTCGCCGTCACTCCACCAAACCTCTTGCCAGAGACCTTGGCATCAGTGTTTCGTCGGTTTATGTTTTTTGATTTGAAGTAGATATTGCAGCATAGCTGATAGTGGTTAATATATATATATTCATTCAGTAGTGGAGTTCAGAATAAGGGCTAGACTACCTTATAGACGTTATGCACCAGAGAAACGTGGGCGCCGTCATCTTTAGAATAATTTTAGGGACTTTAAGCAACAGCTGCTGATAGAACGGCGACGGCAGCCGGAAATAAACAGTTAACTGCCGTAGCTAAAGAGCGCAAAAATCACTAAGCAACAGTAAAGAGGACGGCATAGGGAATCATCAGACAACATACAAAAAGAAAGTGATTTTAAAAAGAAAGAGAAGGGTTGATTTTAGCACTTAATGATATACAGAAACGATTTCAATGCCACATAACCTAAAACATAACATTAACTGTCTTAATCTGTCACGTAGTAACGACTACTGCAAATCAGCTGTTCTCCCGTAGTAGACGGTTACAGTAGAACGTCAAGAAGTAGCAGTTAATGTCGCGCATGCGCAATAGAACGCCAGAATGCCGTTGCCGTTCCACCAGAGGCTTTTGCTTAAAGTTCCTATGGGCTATATGCACGCATAAGTTCCGCATTTGACGCAAGGATGCTCGTCTATTTCCGGTTGTGTAGATTAAAGCAGAGGAAAACCGGAGAAAACGGGATTATGGCAGAGTCTTCAATATTTACTGTCCTCCCGTCTTTGAAACGAAACGTACATACGTTTAGATGTAATTTTATATACAGTTATGTTTATTTGATATAATTTTAAAAAGAAGCATAAACACAACGAGGGGTGTCTGTTTTATCTGTTTTTGTGACTAACGTTTCATTAGTATAACCATGGAGTATAAAATTCAATATAAATTCTCGCTATTGCATTGGACTCTACGATCGGCGGAAGTTATCGAGCATCCTTCCCAGATAGCAAACTGACATTGAATCAACGTGGAAATATGACATCGAAACAACGTTGATCTGACATTGTTTTGCTCATCGAATTAACGTTGAACCAACGTCAGACGCGTCATTCTTTCAAAACTAACGGAAAATCAACTTGAAATCAACGCGTTCTTTCAACGTTATGAAAGCAAACTAATTGTCGATTTTATTTAGCTTTGAAGAATGCCGCGTCTGACGTTGGTTCAACGTTAATTCGATGAGCAAATCAACGTTGTTTCAATGTCATGAGAGACGTCGTTTCCACGTTGATTCAATGTCAGTTTGCTGTCTGGGTTACACCTTCACCGGAAATAACGCCGTGCATAGAGCCCATTGTCTTTGAACTTCCGGTTTTTCCGGTCGCTCTGTATATTTCTATGGCATCGATGTCTAGGAGTAATTAGCTGGTGAAGTGGATTTACTTATTGTAGAGTTAATAAAAGTTATCATGATCATTGTAAAGTAGATATCTTAACAAATGTCAACCGGGAAATGTTTTACGAGCAGTTCATTCATACCTATGCAAGATATCGCTGTGGAGATACAGACCGGAAGTCAAAAGACAACGAGCGCAACGGTGAAAAGGGGCGGGGATACATAGGTCTATTAGGTGCAGAGAAATAACGGTTTATCTTTAGATAAGATAAAGTTGAACTGTCAGTCACATGAAAACTCAATCACACACTTTACTTCACTGCTTTATCCACTCGTGGTATTCATTTAGTAATCAGTTCCTCTCGTCTATCTCTTGTTAATAAACTTCCTTTTATTACACTTGTGTTGATAATATTAATTCGAGTTAGAATATATTTATTGTCCACCAGGGTGAGACATTCGTCATTGGAAACTAAATAGCGGGCTCCTATGGAGTGTGGATCGAGCCATTTCCAGATCTGTATAAAAAATAAAAAGTAAATTCTCCACACCATCAATACTAGCAAAAGTATCAAAATGGCCTCATTGGCCACAACGTTTCAGTCACATGACCTTCAACAGCCATGGAGAAATATCTGTGCTTCTAGACTATTGCTGCTATGAGTGTTTTCACACGTGTATATGGATAGGTGGTGCAAAACACGTGTGTGGTGCCGCGAGCAAACTTAAACTGAAACTAAACCTTACAATTGGTTGTAGTTTTAGTTATCCACTATAGATGTTTATCCGCAAATGTGCAAAGGGTCAATCCAACACTTATGGTGAATTCCCACCTGTACATGCGAAAGAGTAGAAAATCCAGAACAATTAGACCCTAAAAATCAAGCAGAAACATCTGTACGGGTGAAAGATTAGATTGAGACAATCCTGAGAAGTGAGTTTTGTTTTGTCAAAACTCATTCACAGAAATCTCAGAGACAGACCGTTATGCTGATACACGTGTTGGACGGATGGTAATGCTGTTGCTAAAGAGCTACGGACATCAAACACAATCCAATCACAGAAGATCAACGACACAGAGCAGGATTATTAGAGAATAAACAAACTTTATTTTGAAGAGTGTTACACAATGGGTTGGGTGGGGCATAAAAACATGACAGATCATTCAAAGCTGCTTAAAAAAAAGAAAAAGTCAATCCTACGATGAACTGCTATACACAGGAGAAGCAGAGAGACATTAGCACTGGCAGTTTGGTCGCGTTTGATCATTTCATCAAAAGTATCGGAAAGAGATTAAAAAGATTTAAAAGGGCAAACAGGCCGACTTCCTCAAAATCGTCAGATAAAAAAAAAAAAAGAAAAACAGGTTTCTACAAATATATATGAATATTGGTGCCAGGAAAGGGCTGGAAATGCCAAACTTTCCAAAGAGCTGCCTAAGTTTTCTGGAGTTTGTAAGGTTTCGTCTTGTTGCTCAGAGGTAGAAGGCGTTCCTCCTCCCCTCGGTGGAATGTGTGTGTGTGTGTGTGTGTGTAGAGGAAAGATTGGCACTGCCGTCCACCAGTGAGAAATCACACAGTGCCACTGTCCCTTATAAAACACATCATGAAAACCAACCAATCAATCAATCTTTAGCCCCGCCCCCTAAAGGTTCAGCTCACGCTCCTCATATTATTATTATCATTATTACACTGTACTCCTCCACGACGGGATTCTCCTCCAAATCCAGACTAGGAATGTGAATTACTAATCAACAATAAAAATAACAGAAATCTAGCCAAGACAATCTTCTGAGGGAAAGAGATAAAACAAACACTAAAAAAATAAAATGCTACAGATGTTAGCTAAGTGGTTCTGAATGATAGAAGATGAAGCAGTTTCTGTGCAGGACCAGAGCTGCTCTCCTCCATAGATGACCTCTGACCCCTGGAGGAACGTGCGGGACTTCAGCTCTGGGGAAGAGGAGACGCAGTTATTCATTTATTGAGGAGTACGGATCACAGCTCAACGAAAAAGGCACTACTCCTGACCTAAACCTCACTTATGCACAATATTTACATTTCAAACAATCAAATCGTGAAAAATTATCAACATTTCCTTGGCACATCTTACCCCGAAGCTCCTGACACACTTCCGTTCGCTTTGTATTACACACCGACCCGTGTTTCAGTGCTGATTAATCTGGACTCGTTTGACCTTTCACTAATCATGCTCTTATTTTATTGCTTGATACTGCCTGAGATTTTTTAAATATGTCCAATATTATAATGGCACATTCGTAGGGTCACAGCTATTTCGATAATATTGGCATGTTTCAACTTTAGAAGTAGATCACTGTGGTTAATTAACTACTGCAATGTAAAATTAAAACTCTTTGTAAAGAGTATATGATGAGTATAATCGTATCAGACTACAGTTATTTAACTAACCCTGATTAGTGTGCAGCCACATTTATTTATACACTCGTTTCCTTGTCCGTCCACTCACTAACCTCCATCTGGGGAACGACGAAACCACACAGCTGATGACACATCTAAAGGTCTGAAATATGTGGATTATTTCCATCTCAAGTGTTGAGAAATGGGCACAAAATATGAGTTCTGTCAGAAGAGGGAGGGCTTCTGAGAGACAGCAACACACTCAACCAATCAGCTGTGCCATGTACACAGTAAACCGTCGGGAAAGGAAAAGTGTGCACACTATCAGTCTATAGATGTGTGCATTAGGGCTGTTGGAACGTATCCCAAAAATAGTTCGAATATATATATAAAAAAAATCAATACTGTTCGAATATTGCTTTATGCGTACATTTTTTCTTCGTCGAGTCGAACTGAAAAGAACAATATAAGTTTCAGAATTTTTGGTCCTGTTTTCACGGAGATATTAGCCGAAAACCATCGGAAGCGCTTCAAGGATATTCAGCGCTAATTAAATGTTTATTGTAATGTTAGATGTCCCTCTAGTGGACAGAACGTCTAACAACCACATGCTATAGTGGCGTTAATGTCGTAAATATTAACCCTTCTATTATCTTCATTTGTGTCTACACTCATTATCTTTGGGGTCTCCAGGGACCCCAGACAATAACATTTAATTTTGTTTTACAAAATGTAATTTTACTCTATTTATTAATGTTTTTACTCAACATTTGTGCAGTTTTTGGAGGATTTTTAATCTGTTTTAAATTTCTATAAATTAATAAATAAATATTTATTTAAATATGCTTTTTACAAAAAAAACGGCATTGTATGTAAAATTCACTTTATAAAAGACCCAGATTTCAAATTTTCATTCATGGAGAGAACATGGATCATTTTACATGGTTTAATGTAAGATTTTTGACAATTTTGGGGAAAATGCAGTTTTAAAACCACTAGATGGCCATAGACCTCCACTATAAGCTATTTGCCTAACCAAACTATATATATTTCACAAGTTTTTCCAGTTGGATTCATATCTAAATATTATAAAATACAAAAAACTTAAAAACTTTGTCAAAGTTAAGTATTTTTTGTACTGACAAAAGTTTTTCAATAATGTTACATTATGATATTAGAATCAAACCTGAACAAGATGTTACAAAGAGAAATGTTTGTCTTTTGATCATTAGATAATATAATCATAGATTTGATCATTTATTTCAATTATCTGTTTTTAATATAATTCTATAATTTTAAAATCAACGTTTCAGTTACGAACTGTAAAAGAACAAAAATTAACAGAAATGAACAGTTATATTACATATATATAAAAAAACCCATAAAAATGCAATGAACTGAACAGCAGTAACAAATGAGCAAATAAAGCAGTAAAAATAATTCATTTTTTGTGAACAATTAGGAACAATAACTGGTGGTGCACTGGAGGTGTTGGTATTTGAAGTGTGTGTGTGTGTGTGTGTGTGTGTGTGCATTGTGGATGTTTTTTGCATTGTTGGAAGTGTGCCACTTTATTTCTGTCAATGTGATCTGCGTTGTTTCTGATTTTAATGATGAATTTTGTATATTCACTAAGATAACAAGTGTTGGCATTTTTTTCATGCTAACATAAAAACAGATATCATTCCAAAATATATATTTTTTAGTAGATCAAGAAAGTGTTAAGAGTCGTAGAAAGTTAAAAGATAACATTTTTTTTAAAAACTGACCAAGTCATTTGACACCCCAAAGACAATAAGAGGGTTAATAAAAGGATGAATTTGAGCATTGAATATTCAAATATTATTTGATTATTAAATAAAATAAGGAATGGAATAAGAGGAAGATTGACAGCCCTACTGTGCATGAGCTCTTAAAGTGACAGACACCTAATATTCCTGCTGCCATGTGTTTTAATGTTTAACAAAACAATTACTCGCTGCTCTTGACGGAATATGTTTTCCAACTTTGATAAGGATTCATCTTTTCAATTTATACAGTGAACATATTTTACATTGGATTACTTCATTTAAAATGTCAGTACCTGAAATGACCGAGCTGAAAACCTGATTATTTAATTAGCATCTTTGTTCTATTGCTTGTAATTTCATTATTTGTTCTTATTGTATTACTCATTGTTTACTTATCTATAATCATGTTTTTTTAGCTGTGGTGTCGAAGTTTGATTTTTTGACTGGTATACGAGTCATGAGGAACCTTAAAATAATGTAATTGTATGGTAAAATGAATCCAGATCCGGTTTGTTGAGACAGGAAGCCCTGAGTGAGAGTCTCCGCTGTTTAATTAAACAGATCCAGGACAGAGGAAATAAAGAGACAAACACAAGAAAAACACAAAGAAAAGGGGAGAAACGAGAGGCTCTGGGCACAGGAGGAGGAGGAGCCAGTTGTCAAGAGCGCTGCTGTTGCCATGGTGAGTTGCCATGCGCTTACCTGTCCTTCAGTCCTCGTCCTCGGCCAGCTCCGTCTCTTTGTGGACCACCACGCGAGTGACCGACATGTCAGGGTGCTGCTCTTTGGCCTCCTTTATAGCCTGGGCCAACGCCTGAGCCCACGCAGTGACACACACACACACACACAAACCAAACAAAAGATGAAAAAAATGAAAAAAATGAAAAAATGAACAAAGAATGAGAACTCAAACTGAATGACACACAGATGACGGGGGAACACGCATCAGCAGTGCCGGACCTGCGAGAACCACGTCTCGTCGCTATGGTAACCGGTGTGTGTGCAGCTCAGGGTTATAATGAGCAGCTGCTCTACAACTGTAGGAACACCACGAGCCCAGCGAGAGACGCACTGTACGTACAGCGCTCGGGTCACGAGTGAAACGCCGGATCACATGTGATCAGCTCAGCTGCGGCCTGTCCTCAGCTGATTAATATGGATTCAGTGAAGAAAGACCACGCCAGGCTTTAACTTTACATTTTATCATCTTAATTTCTTATTTGAGTGTTGCTGTAAAATTAATTCACTATTTATTTTTTATCCTGTACAAGATAAAAACTGTACAGAAGTCTGACAATCTTTTTGTGTGTGCGTGTGTGTGTGTGTGTGTGTTTGAGTCTCTGTATAAGTGAGTGAGTGTGTGTGTGTATCTCACCTGATCGTGATCGATGTCCGAGTCTCCCGTGATGACGATGCGCTTCTCGATGCGAGTTTCTGACAGCCCGCCCTTTAGTGTCTGTCAATCATTAAAGAGACAGATGTCATGTGACACATCAAACACAACTCAGCAGGAACAACGGAGGACAGAACATTGGATTCAGATAAAAACAGATACACTGTACAAATGATTTTGGTCAAAGTGGCAATTAAAACTAATTATTTTACTACATTTTACAAGAAAATACAATTTCAAGTATAATGTTTCTGTGAAATTATTTGTGGAATTTACTAGCAATTTCTGAGGGTGATTGTTAAAGTAAATCCTGCACCATGTTTTTTTTCCAGTGTAGTTTGAGTTTTGATTAGTTGTATTTAACCCTCAGGTGCTCTGCGGTCATTTCTGACCGAAAAATCTTCTGTTTTGAATTTTTAAAAATCACAGCTTCATCGCAATGTTACGAAACTTGGTGACTTTTATGGCATTAAGTATGTGAACACACAAAAAAATTGAGGTCATGATCTGAGCATGCTAAGTGGTCTTAAAAAAATAGTTACACTTGTGGTCTTCGGTCAAAATTGACCCCCTTAGGAAATGAATGGGAAATTGTAAAAAAATGAAAAAAAAAATTTTGTTTGTCAATTTTTTTAATAAGAAATAGTTTTTGAGATTGTTTCAACTATATATTCACATCTACCAACAACAACAAAAAAAAGTGTGTTCATAAACAGCTGGGGAATTCACATGCCTCTCCATAGAGAGCTGTACATGCCATCTAGTGGTTACACCATGATTCTACGCTTTTTCTCCATACTGTAACCAGATGGTGCTAATTTTCTTCAAAAAATATTTTTTTTCCTGAAGGCCTAGACTCTATATTAAACTAAAATACTGCATTAATATTTTTTGGAAAAAAATAATATATATATAGAAAAATATATTTTTTCATGGCAAAAATAAACCATAAATATTGCATACCCTAAATATTAATATATTCAATTAAATTGTCTCAAAATACTAAATTAAAAAGAATAAATATTATAGAACAAAAATAAATTGCATTGGTTTTACTGGGATGGAGGAAATTTAATTTTTAGGTGTCCGGTCACTTTTGACCGGGAAGATAACAAGTGTGACTCCGAAACGAAGAGCACCTGAGGCTTAAACACTGGTCCTAGATCAGCCTAACCCACTTCGGACATGGGCATTAGCAGGTTCCTCTGTGTTTAGTCAGTTCTGCATCAGAGCCCACAGCCGGCTCCGGGAGGAACAACTGCACTCATTTGCTCCATGAGGAAGGGTCACTTCTACACCTGTACAGTCAGCTCGACTGTGAGCTATATACAGTATATATATATATATATATATATATGGAACATGTGGTGAAAAACTAAATCACCCATAAATGCTGTGGAGAAACATCCAACAATCACAGTCAAAACAAGCAAACGCCCAAAAGATGTCTTTAGCTCCGCCCACTCCCATGAAGCACTGCAGGTGACGTAATTAAGCCAATGTCCATACACTCAAAATACTTAAATATGCATATTTAGCAATAAACCCAACCGTATATTAGGAATGCAACAATACAGTTAGCCCACGGTTCAACACATACATTGGTTTTTTAACCATGTGTGTGTGTGTGTGTGTGTTACCTTGGTGATGTGTGTGGTGGTGGTGGTGCAGAGTGACTCAGAGGTGATGGTTTGAGCTGTCATAAGCACTCCCGGCTCCCCGTCTCCATTACCATCCAACTGTCAATCACACACACATTCAGCACTCAACAAAACTCTCAAACCTCATCGCTTCAAAAGCTCCACTTTGGATTCTTTGTTTCAATAAGACAATAAACACATGGGTTGGGTCGTTTCAAATGCGTTCTAATACGGGGATCATGTGACCGTCTCTGACCTGCGCGGCCTCGTACGTGATGGTCTTGGTCTCCGTGTGCACGATGGGCACCTCCTTCGTGGAGATCTCCGTCTTCTGAGCAGCGAACGTGTCTGAAATCGTGACCATCTCAGTCTTCACCACAGGAGGCTACAGAGAGACAGAGGCCGTGAGCGAGGAACACACACACACACACACACCGCTCTGACGTCACGACACACTACACGTCTTTGGTCTATAAGCCGTGTGACGGGACATTGGTGCGGTTTTGGTTTCAGTGATCTTTGGCAGTAACATCACACACGAGATCTCAACATGGCGCCAATCAATGTGATCAAATCAGTTACTGAAGTTACGCAAGCTAACTTACCATTACAATATCAAGTATGAAACATGCGACATGCAGCACACAAAATATAAGTGTGTGTGTGTGTGTGTGTGTGGTAGAGTAGGATGGAATATAAATCAACTTAAAGGCGCGAGGATGGGATGACTGACGTTAAAGCGGACTGAACCACTCTGATTTATACTGCTTCTCTTCCTTAAAGGAGTGCGCAGATGGAGCGGGATCTTCCTCCAGGACGAGGAGGAGTGGGAAACGGAAGAGGAGAAGAGCGGGAAAGCGGCTCCGCTAGCTCACGACGTCAATTACCTCCGAGCAACAGATAACCTGCGGCAGGAGCTCCGCCTCCACGCGAGAGACGCTGCCGTTGACGACGGGAGGCTCCTCCTCTACGGCTCTGAGAGGGGGCGGGGCTTCGTCAGCGGGGGCGTGGCCATTGCGAGCGTCGTCCTTGTCCGTACGCTCTTCCTCTTCAGGTTGTGCGGTTGCTTGCTCTTCCACTGCACTAGGGGCGGAGTCAGCTGGTTCTGCTTCTGTGATTGGCTGCGACTCTACCGCAGAGGGCGGGGCTTGCTGTATAAGCTCCGCCTCCTGTTCTTCCTCAGGCTCTTCCGCGATCTGCTGAACGGAGATGCTCGCGCTGGGTGTCTGAGCGTGATACTCCGCCTCTTCTTCGCTCTCGCTGTCCGAGGATAAACTCCTGTCCTCCTTGACCTCCGTCTCCATGGTAACCGGGGTCTCGGGGGCGGGGCTTCTGGGCTTGGCTTTGATGACCTCCTCGATGACGACGGTCTCTTCCATGACCTCTACGAACTCTGGCTGGCCGTTCACTTCAGGTTTGACCTCTGTGCTCTACACCAGACAACGACACAGACACACACGAGGGATGGAGAGAAAAGCAAAAAACAAACGATGACCACAGAAAAAAAACTGAAGGAAACAAACTTCCTGCAGACCTTAGTTTAAAGTCAATGCCATTTCGATGTACAGTGTGTGGAGACGCGTTTAATCGCTTGAGAATCAGCAAAACGATGAATAATAATAAAATCTTAATCCTACTTTTCCTCGACTGATACACAAAAGAAGAACAACAGACCTTTCACATTTGCGGGGTTCGTCACAAGCTGCGTTTCCATTACCCTTCAATTTGCGCAAATTGAAATTGCGAAATGAAAATACGTTCAAAGGAAACACGTCAATTTCGCAAAAACTCCCGTTTATGGCAAAAAAGTTTTTAAGCTCTCATGAGGAGGTTTTTCAGGCAATTCGAAAAAGGATTTTTTTCGCAAAACTGCAATGGAAACGGATTTTGCGCATTTACGGTCACCTGACTTAGAAGACGGAGTGTGTTTTAGGTCCGTGTCTGCAAATATAATAATTATCATTATTAGCCTATTATAACATTTATTAGGCTACATATAGAAGACGCTTTTATCCAAAAAAGAACAAAGCAATTCGTCACATCTCATTCATAGTACAGGTTGGACAATAATAATAATAGGGCTAAGATTATCACAAATAAACACTCGATTTTGTCCAATATCCAAGAGTGTGTGTGGAGTTTGGAGCACTGGATGAACACTTTCATTTTCCCATCAACAGTGGAATCAACTTAAAATACTCGATTTCTGGTTATACAGAAAATAATAATACATTATTCGCAACTACTTTTATTTGCGTAATGTCACAATAACAAGAAAACGTTGTGCTTTTGTAAAATAGGCTAACATTAAAAAGCAGGCGCGCTTTATGATCTTCGTGAACTGGCGCGCGAGAACTGAACCAATAGCCTTTATAGACTAAAGCTTGAAATGTCCACTTCAAAACGAACAAATTTGAATCGTAAACTAATACCTTCTGATTATGTAATCCGTATGAAAGGTGCCGTTCTCTCTAAAGCTGCATCCGGAGATTATGTTTTTAGCTCGTTATTTTTTCAGACGCATTTATAATAACTCACCTATAGCCTATACAGCACTGCGGGAAAAATATCAGAAATATCCATGTTCTAATTTGGCCTTAGAAAACCAGTAAAATCTACATTTTTTTCCCATATTAATTTGTGAATATTTTAAATGTTTTAAAGGGGGCAAAAAGTCAAACAAATATGAAAATTCGTTGAGATGTAAATAGCGCTGCATTGGTGTGGTCAAACTAAAAGGTTGGTGTTCAACTTTGCGTTTTAAAAATACAACAACCGTTCATTTTTTGTTTTGCAACGACCGTTTGGACATAATACGAGACAGAGTTCTTTATTAAATTAATTTAAAAAAAAAAAAAAAAACAATAATTACAGGAATAGCCTCTCTAAACCTCAAAGAAATGCCATCAAGACATGGAAGCAGAAATAAGGGAGAAACACCGAGGAACTCTGTGTCTTTCCCTGCCATTAATGCTTGGATAACACACCACGTCTCCTTCCATTAATAATAATAATGTCGAGTGCGGTGCATGGCTGTGAAATAGGTTATAAACCTACCAAAGTCTGTTGCCTTGATTTTTGGAATGACTTATCGCGAGAGGGAAAAAAAGACGTTTTAGTCGCATAACATCGGTTAATGGAAACTTCGTCATTTCGCAATAGTTTTTTATCGACATTTGGAAAATATCGCAAAAGTTTTGCGCAAATCTGTAATGGAAACGCGCCTACAGTTAAACTCGTATGGGAGACGACAGCAAATATCATTTCCAAATATAAAACCCCATATTTTGAATCAAACTCGAGATTGATTACGTTACGGACCTGTGTTAGAAACTCTGAGTGTACTGTCATGTTAAGCAGAGCTATTAAAACAGACTATAGTGTTTAAATATCTCTAGATGTATGATGTTAATAACTCATGTCTTCGGTCTGTGAAAGGGTCCAGTGTAACTGGATTACACACACACTATAGTCCCTCAGTTAGGGTGTTTACATATTGTACTGAGCACACTGTACATCACCCATCGCTCACAGCGAATCAAACATGGCATCCGCTCCAACTAAGGTCCATAAACACTGCAACACCACACATATATAATCAAACAAGCAACATAAGGAGAACAGAGACAGTCATGACAAGCTGAAGATGAAGAGAGCATGGCTGGACAGACAGATGATGATGATGATGATGATCTCTGAAGGTGGAGGCGTGATGTCTGCAATGGAAAAGGGATGAGATGTGTGTGTGTGCGGTGTTAGGTGTGTGTTTGCTCAGGTGATGTTAGGTGGCTGAGAGAGGACCTTGCTGGCGTCTCTGCTGTCGCTCTCGGGATGAGGAGGGCTTTTCTGAGGAACCTGAAGGCAACCATAGGACACAGTCACTCAAACACACACACACACACACACACTCGCTGTCTGAGGAACTGCTGACACCTGCCACTCACGGCGGTCTGATCTCAAGAGCTCTCTTGTGATGGGATCGCCCGAGACAGCAGGTGTAAACAGGGTCTGAGCGGGAGAGGGTTCGGGAAGGTGGACAGGACAGCGGTTAGATCATGTACACACACACACACACACACACGACGGCAGAGGTGAGAATGAGTGGAAGCTGATGAGCAGTCTGGCGACCTCTAGATCGGCTCTCACGCACATGAACTCGGACGCTACGCCGATAATGTGTGTTACTGATCTTATTACACTGGCTTCTCATTGGTCAATCGCACCGGTTATGAACTGATAACACGGGCTCATCCGCATCTCTGTAACTGAAGTCGGTGATTTAGGATTGCTGGGAAGTTTTGCGTTTGGTGAGGTAATAAAATATTCAAACTCGCAATTTGTGTGTAGATATTTAATCATCGCAGACTCGCTCTCTCCTTTCATAAACACACCATTTTGTGACTGTTGGATTATAAAACACAAACCGGTATGATTTTAAAACAGTTTAATCTGAAATGAATATCTCTTATCTCCATACATAATGATGCAGTGAAATGCTGTGTAATAAGCCGCTTTGCGTTTAAAGAGCTGATCAAAAATTTCAACTCAGATCAATATTTCATGCCTAATTATTTATTCATGTGGGAAGTAGCTGTGTAATTATGTACTGTGTATTAAGCGATAACAACAGGCTGGATGTACATTATCCCTTAACAGTGTTGGGTGTAACTAATTACTAAGTAATTAGTTACTGTAATTTAATTACTTTTCCCTTGAAAATGTAAAGTAAGGGATTACTGTAATTTAATTACAGTTACTTCTGATGTAATTGAGGTAAATACTGTGTATAGATCAATCCGATCTCACAGCGATTCGAATGCATTTTATGAGGTGTCTAAATATTACGACCGCACTCGTACAAATTCGTATGAATTATTGTAAAATATGTATGAAAAAAGTGTGAAATGTCATGAGATCAGACGTAAAACAATAGTGGGTTTAACATCAAAATGTATCGTCTGATGCTAAAAAGTGTGTTTTTATAATGTAACCTTCTCCACCTTGGTCAGTTTAAGGATAATTCATGCAATTTTATAGTATTTATTTGAAAGAATTAAAACAGATTCATGTCTATCTTTGTATTATTCAGCTGGTTGAGATTGATATGGGATTTTGAAAGTAATTAAAAGTAATTAAACACTTTTTAGAGAGAGTAATTAGTACAGTGATGTAATTACACTGTTGAAGAGGTAATTCGTAACTAGTAATTAATTACTTTTTTAGAGTAACTTACCCAACACTGTCCCTTAATCACTTGAACAATAATATGTATATACAGTATATGGCATATAATGGCATAATGACATGTTTTAATTTTTATGGTTTTATTGTACATTTAATTACTTTTGTTTTGCATTTCTGAATGCTTATTTAACCTGTAACTGCTGTCTAAGAAATAAACACAGTTTACAGTATTTTGTCTTTTGTTCTTTGATTAACATTAATGACAGAGAGCAGGTTTATTAGGCTGCTGTCACTTTACTCTTCACGGTCACTTAAGACTTCATGTAACTCATTTAAGAGTGTGCTTGCAAAGGTACTCGACGAAACGGATATTTGACATAATTTTGTGTTTTTATCCATGCAAGCTTTGTCCAAAGCAACTTTCTGTGCGCATAACTGTGTGTGTGTGTCTGTCTGATCTCACTTGAATCATTAAAAATATTTGCTTGAATAAAAGCATGATCATATAAATGTAATGCTAGACAAAGTATTACGGGAAAAACAGATAATGCATTACTCGCGATAAATATTGTTAATGCATCAAAGTGAAAAATTAATCTTATGCGTTAACGCTTTAATTTTGACGGCAGTAATATATATATATATATATATATGGACTGGGAAACGATTAATCGCGATTAATCGCATCAAAAATAAAAAAGTTTTAAATAAAAGTTTGAGTTTACATAATGTGTGTAGTGTGTATAATTATTTTGTATATATATATAAATACACACACATGCATGTAAACATTTAAGAAATTTTTGCATGTATATACTTTATATATATTTATACAAAATTAATATTATACATAAATATTTAATATATTAATAACACATTTTTCTTAAATATATACATGCATATGTGTGTATTTATATATACAAAATAATTATACACACTACACACACATATATTATGTAAACACAAACTTTTATTTTAGATGCGATTAATCGTTTCACAGCCCTAATATACATCTATATCTATATATATATATATAATATATATATATATAATATATATATATTATATATATATATAATGTATATATATAAATGTATATATATATATATATATATATATATATGCGATTAATCGTTTCACAGCCCTAATATACATCTATATCTATATATATATATATATATATATATATATATATATTATAAATGTATATATATAAATGTATATACATCTATATCTATATATATATATAATATATATATATATATATAAATGTATATATATAAATGTATATATATATATATATATATATACAGGGCCGGCGCTCCGCACACGCACACCACGCACTGCGCGTAGGGCACCAAGTGCTTGGGGGGGGCACCAAAAAATCTGGGTCGTGAAAAATCATCACAATAGGCTACTAGTATAAATAACAAATACAATATGTCTAAAGCATGGTAATATACAAAAGCAATACAAAAGTAATATAGGCCTAGACCAAATTAGTGGAGAAAAAGGTGAATCTCCTGTGCCAGTCTCCCTCTGGTGCCCCCCCTTCCCACCTCGCAGTGGTCTGTTCCTCAATCAGTGTCAAATTTGGCAGACACCTGATCGACATCAGACATGGCCTCGAAAAGGCACCAAGAGTCGGGGGCGGAAAAAAGGAAAAAGAAGAGACAGTGGGATGATACTCGTTTGCAGGTAAGACAATGTTTTAAATAAAAGTGTTAGTTTTGTAGGCACCCTTGCTTCGTGTATGCATGTCCAGAGGGGCGTCGCTAGTTGTGCAAATGATCAAGGGCTTTGCCCTGCATTTAGAATTTTTTATTTTAACGGGGGTCCGGGGGTTTCTCCCCCGGAATTTTTTTTTTACTTGGGCTGTTTAAGATGCAGTTAGTTTGTTTGAGAAGAAAAGGAAGATCGCTTAGATATGTTTTTTCGTTGTTGTTCTATCGGATAATGCGGTAAAAGGCCCAAGGGCGACATCTATTGGTGAAACTGCTATTAGAAAAAAAAAAAACACAATCTCACTGTTTGTATATTTTCATATGGAGGTGTCAAATTATTAGGGCTGGGAAAAGCTTAATCACATCCAAAATAAAAGTTTCTACATGAGTACTGTGTATAATTATTTTGTATATATAATATACACACATATGCACAATTGCACATATATATTTAAGAAATATTTGCATGTATATACTGTATATATTTATAGATAATTTATATTATATATATATATTAAAATATTTTATATATAAATAACAAATATTTCTTAAATACATATACAAAATAACTATACACAGTACACACACACATAGGCCTATATCATTAATGTAGACACAAACTTTTATTTTGGATGCGATTAATCGCGATTCATCTTTTCCCAGCCCTACAAATTATGTACAGAATTATTATACTGTGCCTCATCAGACCCCTTTTAAAGGTAGAATAAAGTTTTGAATTTTAAATGTTCCAGTGAAACATAGGCCTATATCAGGGGTGCCCAATCCTGCTCCTGGCGATCGACTGTCCTGCACAGTTCATCTCCAACCCTAATCAAACACACCTGAATGTGATCCTAAAGACCTTAATTGGCTACTTCAGGTGTGTTTGATTAGGGTTTGAGATGAACTGTGCAGGACAGTCGATCGCCAGGAGCAGGATTGGGCACCCCTGGCCTATATTATATAAAAGACTAATGTGTGCAATATTTTTGTATGATGGTTATTGATTCAGTAGAATCCCTGAATATTTTGTCTTGTATTTCTGAATGCAGGGTCAATGCTAAAATACATGCAAGGAGCAACTCAAGGCCAGGAGGAAGAACCATCAACCAGCAGTTGTAGCCAGTTCCAAATATGTGTTTTTAGTAATTGTGGTGTTTTTTGGTATTTATAATTTTAACCTTTTTATTATTTATTTCTTTTCATATTTGGTGCCATTGTTAATGTAAATGTATTTATTTGCAGCAGTTATTTTGGAAGTAAAGAGAACCTAACTAAGAAATTCTTAATGGTTGTTATTCCTGGGTGAGTGGGTAGTTGGGGTTGGGGGGAGGGGGTTGTTAAGGGGGCACCACCAAGCATTTGTGCTTAGGGCACCCAAATGGCTAGCGCCGGCCCTGTATATATATATATATATATATATATATATATATATATATATATATATATATATATGTTTATTTGATTGCACATTGATTTCTGCTTTGATATTGAAACCAAGAATCAAGAATTAGAATTAGATAGACAAGTACAATCAATTTTTAAATCCCAAGAAATCAATCTTTTAGCTTATGCCGTTTTTTTAGTTGAGTAAACGAAACCACTAAACATTATTAGCAGCGCAAGGACTGGATGGATCTGCCAGATCTGAGCATGCACTGGGTTATGTTTGAGAGAGAAGCGGGGTCGTGAATGCCGAGACTCTACTGGCCTCTGCTGGAGCAGCAGTGGTACTGCAGGAGCCCGCCAGGCCCGAGAAGCACGCCTTACTCAGAAAGAGAGAGGTGAGCTCCTCTTCCAAACTCTACAGGCGTCACGAACACACACACCAGGAGCGAAACGAGAGGGTGTGAGGACAGAACAGACACAGAAGAAACAAGAGAGAGAAACACAAAAGCACTTCAGTGACTAGAACAGCTACTAACATGCACACACACACACACACACACACACACACTACAGAAAAAGCATTTCAAAATGAACAGACAGAGCGTTTCTGAACCAGAGGTGACGGCATCAAGAAAGTCAAACGGGTGCAAATAAAACACGCATGTCAGAAGTCTTAGGCAGGAGCTCATCATTTACATTGACTGATAAAAGCATGATAAAAAATACAGAAGGAGCATGTGTGCAGCTGAAAGAAACACAACGTGATTGAAAACGGCAACTGAGATCAGCAAACCTAAACAGTGAGAGAAGCTTTCAGCTAGAAAACACAAGAGTTCAGTCGCAATGAGGAAAACACAGCACAACACACACGAGCAGCGGTGAAGAAAACAGCCATGAGAGAGCTGCGCTGCATTGGCCAGTGTAGAGGACAGGAGGAGTGTGTGCGCGAGACAGTTGGGATTACGAGGAGGGCTTTTAAATCTACTTAGACTGGATAAGACGACAGCACACTGTGACGTCAGGAGTGACAAGACTGCGGGATGATTTCATTAGGGCACTTCCAGTCACGTCAGTACCGCATGTTTTTTTTTTTAAGTGTGGATTGGCAGGATTAGTAATCGATGCATCATGGAAACGACAATTTAATGAGATAAAAATGAACACCTATTGCGAGTGTGTTCCCAACTGTCCCACCGCACAACAGAAAGCGGCCACAGTAACCCAGCGGAGGAGGAGGAGGAGGACAGCGAGGGCATGCCGGCGTCTGGAGCCCGAGCACAAGCACACGTACCCCTTGAGCCTGCAAGCGCAGGGTGGTGGCAGGGCTGCCCGTCAGGCGTTTGTCCCACTGACTGGGCCTGGGCTCGGGCGTAGCCTCCATAAAACTGCGCTTTAGCTCGCTAATGCTAGCCTGATGCTTCAATACATCCTCCTGGGTCTTATCCAAGTCCTGAAGGGCCCATCGCACCAGGGAGAGGCAGGCAAGGGAGGACAAAGGGACAACCAACAACCAGCACATTAGTCATGGAGAGACCTGAACCCGTTAGCAGTCCGACCTCACTGCTCGCCCGAGTCCTGAGCTCCGGCCAAACACCCGATAGCACACAGCTCTACTTTACAAGTCTGCTAGTGTACTTCATGGCACTCATGATGGCTGATTGGCTGATGGCCATGTAGACAGTACATTTGGAACATATTTAACCCTCTGGGGTTGTTTGTTTCAGAGTCACACTCGGGGTGTTCGGGTCCAAATGGACCCAAAGGCTGGGATTCATATTTAAAAAAAAAAAAAAAAAATCATGAAAAATCTCGTTTTTTATAATATTTTTTTCTTTTATGGAGTTGAGAAAATAAAAAAAAATAAAAAATTATAATTAGTATTAATGCAAATAATTATGACAATTTCCCCCCATTGAACATAATAAAAAATATTTAAAAAAATATATTATTATTTTTTTAAAGCTGTATTTCATTTTAGAGTCAAGCCTAGGCCTCATAAAAGCAATTTTTGAAATGAGATGGATGCCATCTGGTGGACAAAAAAATGCAAAACACGTATAATCTGAATTTTTTGGTGCGTTTGTGTATAGAAGTGTGTCTGGATGTGTCTGTTTTGCACTCTTGATGTTTTATAGATTCACCCCTTCACTGTTGTGCTTTTTTTCAAGATCGTGGCTGATTTGTAGATTGTACGCACAAAAAAACTCAGCATTTTCACATTTTTGCCAATTTCCCATTCATTGAACACCCCAAGTGTGACTTTTTTTTTTTTTACAACCACTTAGACTATTCACATCCTGTCCCCAATTTTTTTGGGTGTTCAAATACCAAATACCAACAAAGTCACCAAATTTCGGACCATTCCGAGGAAGCTGTGATTTTTAAAAAAATTTTTTTATTAAATTCTTCGGGTCCATTTGGGCTGAACAACCCCAGAGGGTTAACAACGAACCATTAGAACAATAACAAAGAGTTATTTATATGGAATATTTCATTTGAAAATTGAGGTCGTGAGGGACAGAAGTACAGACTGTGAAGGCCTATCAAGGGAAATCCCAAAAAGGAACAGGTGTGAACGAATCTTGGCAAATTCAAAATCACGCAAACAAACTTTGTTTTAGCCAGATTTCATTTAAAATTTCACCACACCCATTAATTCTTCAGTTTGAACGGGTGTTGCATAATTTCTAATGAAATCTGGCTAAAACCAAGATCGTTTGGAGTTCAGGCCTTTACATGTTATACATTGAAAATATGTATTTTCATATTTCACAAAAATTAGCTTAACCCCTTAACTGTCACTAAATTTACTTCACGATATTACTATTAAATCCTAATCTAGTCATGACAAACTATATATCGTTGGAAAGGTCTAAGGCTCCTAAATAGATATTTTAGTTCTGTTTCTTTCTTACAAATTATGAATGAACAGTAATATATGAATTTATGACAAGAGTGCTCCTCAAAAAAAATCTACGTCATTACAGGAGTTTCTGACCTTTGTCACAAAAAGTCGACGCACACACTTTTAATAATTGAAACTTTGGTTTTTAGTGCTAAAAGTTCATAATAAAACATAATTAATATTTTTCAATACAAAAAAAAGATAAAATTATGTTTTAAACAGTAAGGTAAGATGTCCTCTAAATGTATAATATATTATATATATATATATATATAAATATCATTTTTTTATTATTATTATTATATCACATATTTTAGTAGTTATCATGAATTAGGTATCATTTGAAAGCTTACGAACTCAGAATTCATCCTGGGAAAACCGGTTTAAAATTGGATGTTCTGTTACCATAGAAACGGTATTTTTTTTATTAGGCCCCTCCCGTTTTGGGCATCATCTTTCATAATTTATTATCAAAACCTTTTCTAATCTTGACAAAACACATATTGTCAGAAAGGTCTGAGTCTCAAGGTTCCATATTTAGTGACAGAAGTGATATTTGGATAGAAATTTATTAATTTGTTATGGCAGAATGCATACAATTAAATTCAATGGAATTAAATGGCACCCGGTGGCTATTTTTGGTATAACGCCTAAACAAAATCTCATGGGAACTTCAAAATTTGTAAATTCAACTTTAAATTTGGAACACAACTTGGTTAGATATATAGCTTTCATTTTATAGTAATAGTAAAATATTTAATTTATATTAAAAAAATATATTAATAAATTATATTTGATTTACTGTAAATTATAACTTACTTAACTTTTTCATACTTTAATTTTTTTTAAATGCTTTTGCTTCAGTAATAATCTGCTGATTGTTTTCTTTAAAACAAGACCTAACTTGGGTATATATTCCAATGCATTCTTGAATTACAACCATTTAAGTTTGTATAGTGCATTTTAATGTCAATTATCAAAAAGGTGGGTGACAGGTAAGGGGTTAAAGCAGAACTGTACACATCTACACCACACCAACTCATTTACATTAAAACCCAAACGAATAAGCTGTCTAGTAACAGCAGGAAGTCTGAATAATATCAATAACATTAAGGACCTTGTTAATCCCACTGATGGATTAAATGGTCATATAACGAGGGTCAGGTGAGAGGTCAGAGGTCAGCGACTGTGTGGAGCAGTGAGGTAGGACTAAAATACTGAGGACTGGAGCAGTGAAGTGATTCACTGCCTCAATGCCAAAGACACACAACCAGATCCACCGTGAGCAGTCACTTCCATTAAAGCTGAAGTGTGCCATGATGCGTAAACACTTACTCGTACTCCAGAGAAAATGATGGGCACTTTCACAGTGTGGAAATGTGCCATTAGCCATTTTTACACCAAAAGGAATTAAAAATGCATAATAATTGATCTAGCACTAGACAATGATTTCAGATTTAAACTTTTATGCCACAAATGTGTTCATGAGTCGGGTGTCTTTAGCACTGACAGGGTCACCCCAGGATGAGTAACTTCATTTAGTTATAAGGTCAAATGTAAACAATCACCACAACCAAAGCAGAAAGCAACCTGTCTGGTTAGGGAAATACTATTAGTGTTGTTATGAAAAAACCATTGCCAAAACATTTACACAAAGTTAATCACCTCGCATCACGTACATTCAGTCCACCTGCAGACATGCAGCCCATGCACGGGTGTACACACACACACACACACACACACTAATGCATGCACACAAAGCCTGAGAGAGGAAGAGTGAGAGGCAGCCCAGGACAGTAGCCAGAGAGGGGACACAGGTCCACCATCCATTATGCTTTTGCTCTTTCTTTTGTTTTCTTTTTTCAAAAAAAAAGTTGATCACATACGAACCTCCAACATTAAATTGCTATGTCTGACATATATATTTTCCCCCTGCACTCTCAACTTGCTCTGTGGATTAAAAATGAGAACACATTTCAACAAACGGAAAAGGACAGATGGCAATGAACTGGAGTCTCAACGGGCTCAAATCAGAAAATGATCTGTGATGGACAAGTACATGTACAGAAGGCTCCAGAAGTCTGAGAGCACTGGTGAAAATGCTTCTCATGGGCATTTTTTATCATTGAATACAGTTTTTATTACAAATTACATTATCAGCATATCGATTTGAGGGAAATGTGTAATTGAAAACAGCAACCAGGTTTAAATTGGATCTTGAATCTCAGATCCTCAATGTGCTCTCAGACTTTCTTGATCCACTTTGGTTCATGTACGACACCTCAGATTTCCTGCATGTTGATCTGTATCAGGGTTCATTGGAGTAACCAACCAACAAGAAAATCAGCATTTGATCATGATTACAAGTCATCAGACAAGCACTCCTTAGCCAATCAATCAGCAAATCTATGGCCTTTTGATCACTCGAGAGAGCTCACGTGATTTGTGCCTCATTTGCAATCGAAAAAGCACAAACCGGAACAAAAGGAATAATAAAAGGAATCAACCAATAGCATAGCAAAGATTTCACATCAAACAAACCCTGATGCAAGAACCCAATCACTTTCATTTGGACATAAAATAAGATGGTGGATTACAACAATCTGCATCTCAAAAGTGAAAGACCTTTCTCTCAGGAGCGCCAGTGCCACCTTTATCCGTCCGCTAGTGCCATCAGAGATAAAAGATGGAGATTAGTTCAAAACATGTACTACAATACCTTTGGATGGTGCGCTAATTAAATGAATATCATAACAGATGCATGCTGGGAAGGTTAGCAGACCTCAATGGCCGATTCATAGGTGACTGATGTGGCCACGTCCGGGTCTGGCTTCTCCACGACCTCCACCTGTGGACTCTAATTGGTGGAATAATGGACAAAATTGTCGGAAAGGTGAAATGGATGATGGGAAGGCCTGAATCCCCAATCAAGGTGAGTGACGTCATTGGGAGCGATGCTTTTCTGATCTTCCGACTTTTTCTTAACCTTATAAAACACTTGAAGGGATATGATGAATTCTCATCTAAGAAGAGAGGGAAATCGATCCGAATGCGTATAAATCTGAAGGTAAGTAGCCTATAAGATTCGAGCTGGTCCAGTGATTGGGTTTCAGGTCTAATAAACTGGAAAGTGGCTGAAAGCTGCGAGCAGGAACACTTTCGGCATCTTACACTAATAGACTAGACGGATTTCAGAAAAAATGGCCTTCTATAAGAAGTGAGGAGCATTTATGTTTTAAGCATTTAAGTTGGGAACCGGTCTACCTTACATATTTCAAGGGTGCTGAGTCCAAAAAAAGTGGTACCCAAGCGAAATTGAGTTTTTTACCAAAATTTGCACATCAAAATGGCCGCTTGCTCAGTCGTTGGACCATTTTCCCCTAGTATTTTTGTAAGTAGGCAATCAAGATGAGGAAATTTAGTTTCTAAAGGGGGAGCGGGACAGAGATAAGAGCTACAGGACGGGGGAAGGAGGAGGCAGTGGCCAACTGCAACAAAATGCACACGCTAGCATTTTAGAGGTGGGCAGACATGTGCCTCAAGTGCCGATCTGTCAAGGTTTGGTAGCAAAATCAATGGCTTTAGGGAATTCTGAGAGGTCTTAAGTCGTCAGGATTTGATTCTTTAGGTCGGGGACCACATTCGAGTCCATTTGGGTCTGGTTCATACAGATTTCAGGACAGCGGGACAGAGATAAGAGCTACAGGATGGGGGAAGGAGGAGGCGGTGGCAAACTGCAACGAAATGCACACGCTAGCATTTTAGAGGTGACAGACAAGTGCCTCAAGTGCCGATCTGTCAAGGTTTGGTAGCAAAATCAATGGCTTTAGGGAATTCTGAGAGGTCTTAAGTCGTCAGGATTCGATTCTTTAGGTCGGGGACCACATTCGAGTCTGGTTCATACGGATTTCAGGACAGCGGGACAGAGATAAGAGCTACAGGACGGGGGGAAACAGCAACAAAATGCACACGGTAGCATTTCAGAAGGAGGGCAGACATGATGAAGGGAACGGGGGAGGTTAGGGTCAGTTTAGGCGGCGGGGTCGCACTGCTTTTCCTCTGATGAGGTGGTCTCGGCCATGACCCCCGCCGGCCTGAAGTGAGCCAGCGCTTTGGGCTCCAGGTAGCAGAGGGACATGGCCAGAGGCAGCGCCAGCAGCAGAGACAGCACCAGCGACTGGCAGGCGGAGAGGAAGACTGCGAAGATGAGGAGGAAGGAGGGCACGAGGGAAGGGGACGAGAGGGGCAGGTCCTCGGGAAGACCCTCACAGAGCCGGAGCAGGGACACACACAGCCGGGCCGGGGGGTCCTCGGGCCCCGAGACGCACTCCGCGGGCGAGGGCGACAGGGCTTTAGATGAAGCGGCCTCTCCGTCTAAGGAGGGGCCTTCGGGCACCCAGGTCAAAGGGTCAGGGTCCGGCTCGTGGTGAAGGTCGGGCTCGTCCTCGGAGATGTCGGATAGCACGTCCAGCTCGGAGATGGTGTCGAGTGTGGGGGGGAGTGAGGAGAGGGTGGAGGAGGACGGGGAGAATGGGAACATGAAGAGAGACTGCGTGGGTACACGAAACAGGAATGTGCGTGGTGAAAAAGAGAGCAAGAACACATGGAGGAATGCGCAGGAAAAGAGAAAGGGAGAGAGAAACACAACATTAGTCAGTGAGCCGAGTCGAGGTCAGGTCAGCAGTGACTGGGTGTGAGGGATGACACATTAGGAGAGACTTGGGGTGTGTGTGTGTGTGTGTGTGAGGGTGGGCAAGCATTAAGCACCGTTCACACTACACGCGACCAAGCGACGCGATACCATTCATTATCAATGGTGAGCGGGCGACTTCCGGCGACAGCGACCGGTGGGGCGTGTCCAGCGACGCGACGAAGTTGAGAAATGTTTAACTTTATGCAAATGAAGGGCGATTTTCGTGAGCGACAACCAATAGGAGTGAAGTCAGTGGAGCGCATGTACAGTGGTGTTCACCGTACTGACTCCGTGACTGAATGGTTTCGGGAACCCAGATAGACTGGTATTTGCCCAGTTTGCTGCAGTTAAATTGGCGCGATGGTAAAGAGCACTCACTGTTTCTCGTTCATCTTTAAAGTCCCTGTAAAGTCAAAATTAAGTATGTGTTCTGAGTTTGTCACACCACAGATAAATGTGTTATTAGCCACCCAGCCAAATTTGAATGATAAAAAAAGCCGGCAAGTACATAAAATAAGCCATCAAAATCTCTGTTCTCACAAGCTGGGGGCGTGTCTGCTGGCTGCGCTGAAACCACGCCCACTAGCGGGAAAGCTGTCGACGGTGATATTAGGTGAAACTGCTTTCGAGACGGGAGGATGAACGCTGAGGCGGGAGATGGTCGTTTCGGCCCCGTTCACCAGTAACAGCGGATTATCAGTGAATCCCAGTTGTCTCTGAGGAAAGTTTATTAAACTATCCCGTGTAAAATGATCACTACAGAGGCGGGTGTTGGCGGTGATCCTCAGCTCTTCATCAAGGTTGGCTCTCTGAAAACCTCTTCTTGATGTGATCGTTTTTAGGGAATTTAAATGAAGATACCGATCTGTTTTGTACATGATTGCATCCAGGCAGCCTATGCATGTCCGTGTCGAAGGCATAGCTAGCTAGAAAACTGTAGGCTCAGCTGTAGTTGTACTGACAGTCACTCGCGTCGCGATTGAGCGGTGAATGCGAATGTGCTCGGGGAGTGTTATTGTGTGTTAGGGGAGAGATCAGACTCGTCATCAAATAGGGGCGTGTCCAGGAGCTCATGGGCTCCAGTGCACCATCGAGCCCTGTTTTAGTCCCGCCCAAACAATCCGTAAAATTGCAATGGTGAAAAACTGTTTAACGGTCTAACTGCACATTTCAGTACTTCACAGTTCACAGTCTTTGTAATATGTTTTAGCAATACATATGTAACATTTATAATGTGTTTAGAACTTTTTTGCAGAATTGCCTTTACAGGGACTTTAATATTATGCATTTTATGTACCGATTCCATTTATATTTAGACTTTTCCATACAAAATATTTGTTTGTAGCGGCAATAAAACGCATTTGTTGTCTAACATAGAGTAACATCCGTGAATGTCACTCACAAACATTACTAGGCAACCAGTAGTGGAGAACGCCCTCCAGCGCAGCCACTGGCGACCTGCAGCGATACAGTCAAAGTCGCGTGTAGTGTGAACGGGGCTTTAGACGACATCACAACTAAAGCTGGCAGAGTTGGGGCAGAAGCTCAGGGGAAGAGAGGAGGGCGTTTTCACACCAGGCTGAGGAGTTCGCTTGATTTCACCACTCATCCTCTTCAGCATGAAACTGGTTCTGTGCGCATGCACTAGTGATCAGACTCTCGGCCACGGCCTTTTGGTCTAAAAGCAATCCAGGGGCTAACTTGAGAAAGTTATTGACTATTTATGGTGTATTGTTTTAGTTTAACAGTTAATATTCAGGTTATTATCGATTTAGCTGCACTGCCACCATCAGATGACAAAATGTGAACTGAACTAAGGTGGATAGAGGCACCAATGTTTGTTTAACTGAATTGAATCACTGAACTGACTTCTGTAGAGCTGTACTTGTATCATAATTGATGCACTTTGCACTGGTAGTAAACTAAATCAACATTGATATTTTTTCTGTTAATTAAAGGAGAACTCGGCGCAAAATCAACCTTTGGTCTAACTACACATTGTTACCTAGTCAACCGTTATCTGAGATTTGTTTTCATGATTGCCGAATGTAAATAGTTTTATCTCTAAAAACAGTATAACGCTAGTATAATGCTAGTATATAGGGCATAGAGTAATGACAAATAAAAATCGCTTGTTATTACCACTAACAAGGCTCAAAATAGCCCCACACTAACACGACAGCATAATAAGGGTCCCTACATTCAAACCGAAGCATTCAGAACTTTGTCAGTGTCCAAACAGTTTAATAAGAAGATATTTTATACACACAGTCAACTTCGCGAATACAGGAAGAAAAGAAGCCATCTTTGAAAAATAGTCTCTACCAGTCGATCTACGAACGCCGATCCAAGAGCGCTGAACTGTGCAGAATCTCATATGGTCCGTTGTTTCCGGAAGAAACACAAACACAAACCGTTTTCTTCTCTTCAATATGTACATTTAGACTACTGTTCGCGCTCACCAGCGCACTCGGATCGGCGTTCGTAGATCGACTGGTAGAGACTATTTTTCAAAGATGGCTTCTTTTCTTCCTGTATTCGCGAAGTTGACTGTGTGTATAAAATATCTTCTTATTAAACTGTTTGGACACTGACAAAGTTCTCAATGCTTCGGTTTGTATGTAGGGACCCTTATTATGCTGCCGTGTTAGTGTGGGGCTATTTTGAGCCTTGTTAGTGGTAATAACAAGCGATTTTTATTTGTCATTACTCTATGCCCTATATACTAGCATTATACTAGCGTTATACTGTTTTTAGAGATAAAACTATTTACATTCGGCAATCATGAAAACAAATCTTAGATAACGGTTGACTAGGTAACAATGCGTAATTAGACCAAAGGTTGATTTTGCGCCAGAGTTCTCCTTTAATGTGAAGTTAGTTTGAATGTTTCTATATTATATAAAGCGCTATATAAATTGTCTCCAAACAACGGCCATTATTGAGCATTTGATGCATATTTTGCCACAAGTGTTTGGTTGTAAAGTCAATGGCTTTAGGGAATTCTGGGAGGTTATTGTCAGAATTCGATTCTTTACGTTGAGAACCACATTCCACAGTCCATTTGGGTCTGGTTCATACGGACTCCAGCACACTTTGAAGAGGTGAATGCAGAAATAATGCATGACATAAATATGATTATGTGATTTCCTAAGGTAAGTAGAACGTGCTTATTCTCTGCATCTCTTGCTATACATCCGTGGCAGACAGATGCGAGTTTTGGTTGTGGAACCCAATAAGTCATTGCCGCGGACGGCGTGATCAAGAGGAGAGGGCAGAGAGCGAACTCTGGTTCAGACCGAGTGTGAAAACACCCTGAGAAAAACACAGAGGCATCTGTCGGGACTCAATCAGGGGTGGTCCTCCGTCATTATGATGAACAGGCCAGTGACGGGACGGGGAATGCGTTTCGCCATGGAAACAGGCGATATCTGGCTAGATAACTCGGTTATTGTCACAAAGATGGTTTGTGGGCAGTTAGACAGACAGGATGAAGTTCTCAAAGCACTTCCATCCTCCATTGGTGTTGGTGTAGGCTGTCTGTGAAAGACTCCCTTCATGTGAGAGCTGTAGGCTACGGCAGGAATGCCAGCGCTCCTTCAGGGCTCGCGGACCGCATGAATGCAGGCCTTTGACGGACAGGGAAATGTCACGTCTGGGAGGCAGACAGTCGGGTCAGCTGGGGATGGAGGTCCCTTCGGGTGTTGCTCAAGAACTGGACTGAGGCATGTGTGTGTTTCCAAACCAAGTGTAGCAATATTTAACTAGCATGATTCAAGGGTTAAAACCAATCAAATCAAACCAGAACCAAATATGAAATCAATGGGGAAGGGGGATACCAACAGGTCTTTTCATAAAACACTCGTCGTTGAAGTACGAGTGTAAAAACATGATAAGCAGGTGGTATTGTTCCAGGGCACGTCCTGTGATGAAGATCATAAAGAGGTGTTTCTCACCTTCGAGTCAGAGTTGAGCTCCAGGGCCGGTCCGTTCTCCCCAGCGCCGGCGGTCAGGGCGGAGTCCACAGCGTGACTGTAATCGCTCACGTTCACCATAGGAGCTGCCGACACACACACACACGCACTGTTCAGATCTTTACCCACCTTATGCAATACACACATATGTTCATATTTCTAAACCGCGGTGTCTGAGACCACACAGGAAATCTGAGACTTACTTTTCAAACCTGGAAATTAAAGGAGACTGTGCTCTATTTCCAAATGCCTCTAAATTAAACTTTTCCCTCAAATTGACCTTATGCACAGCTGCACTACTTCCTGAACTTAAGCCAGCTTCTTGTTTCCTGTCTGTCATTATTGTCCAGATTGATTAATCCAGGTGTGTCTGACCTCAGTAGTCACGGCAAAAATAATCAGACACACCTGAATTAATCAAGTTCGGCCAATAATGGCAGACAGGAAACAAGGAGCTGGCTTAAATTCAGGAAGTAGTGCATCTGTGCATAAGGTCAATTGTTGTTCTGATAAATGCTGGGTCACATGTTATATTGGGTGTCTTTAACTAGTCTAGGCACCAAGGTTAAAAATGAGCAATTGTCAGGTAGAATATACTCTTGATGTTGTATTGTGAAACACTTGTGTTGCTGCTATGGAGGTGTATACGGGTAAGATGGGTCAGGCTTGGTGGGATGGGTAGGTGTAAGGGTGGGTTAAAGAGTAAAGGAAGGGTCAACAGTGTAATTATAGTACAATCCAAAATCATGTACACAATAACTGCATTGAATACAATATTCAGCAAAACTTATCAAGCGAAACGATCGCTCATTTAAAAAAAAAAAACGTTTTAAGCTCAAATGGTCGCCTTGCTCTGTTCTGTGATGCTCGTTCGTGACTCTCCTGTTCGAACTCGTTCATCAAAATGAACGAATCTTTTCCCGAGTCAACTTGTTCATTTTGTTCATTGAATGACACAAAAAAAGATTTGTTCATTTTGATAAACGTTCGTTCATTTAAATAAAAGAGTTCGAACAGGAGAGTCACGAACGCACATCACAGAACAGAGCAAGGCGACCATTTGAGCTTATAAAACGTTTTTCTTTTTTTTTTTTTTAAATGAGCGATCGTTTCGCTTGATACGTTTCTCATTTTATATTAAGTGTCTTTAACTACTACCATTTATTCAATTAATAAAAATCTGCAGTAGAAACACTTGGTGGTCTCAGACTTTTGGACTCCACTGTATGCCTAAACATTAATGTCTTTCATTAAACACCAGGTTTATTCAAATTCATACATATTTCATATTCATATTTATTAAAAGCAAATTCATGAACACTTCAGCTAGAACAGGACGGCATATGTTGTATATGTACAACTTTAAAGACAAATACCCGACAGAAAAAAAAATCCTTCGAATTTGTATGGTACATTGTACCTATTTCTTTACGTAATCTACAGTGTATTTAAATATCAGAAACATAAATAATAAATATTATTTGATAACACTGAACTGTTGTGATCCTGGTTATATAAATAAATAAATTTGCCTCATAAATCTGAGACTTTGACTCCTTAAAACCTTGTCGTGTCGTGGACAAGACATGTCAGATTACACAATGCTTCCTGACCAGTCATCGCATGCCATCTTTACTGGAGCATGTGATGTCATCGAGAAGGCGAAACTAGGAGCGAGTGACTCCCAGAAACGAACGTAAACAAACAATGGATGAAGCGGTGAGTGTTGTATTGGCTGTCCTGTGTTCAGAAAAACAAACAAACAAACAAACAAAAAAAAACCCTGACAATGGAAACGTTCCATTGTTTTCTTATATATTTTTACTTTTAGTTTTAACGTTAGCACCATCGTCTCTTTCGTTTCGCCATTTTTCTGTGCTCCTATTGGTCAACCTCACATATGTGACGGAACCGTCGTGGACGACCGTTAAAAATGCTAGTCTTTTTGTTGTGATGCCATGTAGCATCGCAGACGTATGTTGTCGCCCACTATGACACACTATACGAGATTATACGATCGAATCTTGCGTCCCGAAGCCGACGAATCCCCACGACACCCTACGTCAAACGGATCGTGGCAAAATCGTGTAATCTGAACCAGGCATTAGTGTGTTCTTGCTAGGGCTGTCGCGGTTATGGAATTTCTCTTGCGGTAATGTTGAGTGGCTCAATAGCGCGATATGCGGTATTACCGTCATTTATTTATTTATTTAATTTATAAGTATTTGTTGCTATATAAATAAAGTTTACGATGTGGACAAAAACGAGGTAATTTAACCAATAACCGAAACTAAACAGCGTCTATATGCGCATTGAAAGCATGATTGAAAGGCTTTCACTCAGCGCGCATATTGTATTGTTATGACAACGGACTTTGAACCGTTCATTCAACGAACACGTTCAAAGAAGCTGATTCGTTAAAAGAGATGTAATGAAACAAGATGTTAATTATTTTTAACTTTGAGTTCCACTTTTCAAGGCTCAGCTGATCAGCAATGCGTCTCATGGGTAACGCGGAAGCTGATGCTTCACTTATTAGAGACCAATGTGGCATTGATTCAATGCGTGACTGTGATTTAATTTCCCCGCGGCTTCCTCGCGCTGTGGGATGCTGACCAGCGCTGCTGCGGAAAATACCCGTGACATGAACGTTAAAATGATGATACGACAAATATTTCGCTTTCCTTTGACACGGCAACCTTTTCACGACTTCAAAGACAGACGCATGTAATCGCACGCGCTCTGCCGATCTCTCTCATTCACTGTCTGTGTGAAACCCGTAGGCTACACATCACCACAGATAAACTTAAGATAAAGTCTTATCATTATGAACTTGTTTAACATTCAATACACATGCATGAAGTTCAAAACAAGAAGAGTATAGCCTTATAAAAAAAAAAAAAACGTGAATATCGCGGTTGCTGCGGTTACGTGCAATCCTCTGCGGTTGACTCGTCAGAAGCGCGGTACTACAATATTGTGGTTACCGTGACAGCCCTAGTTCTTGCAGCTTCAGGACCATCTGAATCAGGGCACTTTTTTCAACTTTCGTTTCATGGCTTTAAAACGATAAGAGTTGGGGGTCACTCATTTTTAGATGCTTCTAACACAGTTTCATATACAACTAAACATGATGGTACGCAGATAGGAAATGCTAGCATACTGTGTAAGCAGAACTTTCAAACGCATCCTCAGCTGGGGCCCTAAAACCCCTGAGGTCAAGTGTCATTTACACCCAAAGACACCAATCCAAAGCAAACCTGGCTCATGCAAGCGTTCCAATGGGAGTGTGCTCCACACTCCTGAAAACAGAGTAAATCACGGCGAGATTACGCAGTTCTCAGCGGCGCTGCTCTCCATCGGGAAGAGGTGGATAATGAAAGCGACAGCACATCAGCATGACCTGCTTTGAGCTGTGGGAAAGTGGGCTAATGTGGCCAGTGCTGCTGGGACGTGCACGTCATCATGTGTGTCCGTGACCGCTCAGAGACGGCAGCAGATCTGGGGCACTGGCAGAGCCGCACGTGTCCACCAGGGGGCGACCGCAGCGCTACTAAACCTGAGAGAGGCCGGATTCCCAGCAGCAGGAGGAAAAATGGGGTCATTTTAATGGAGAGGAGCTGGGAACGCAGATTCATACCGACTGTACACGAGTCCATGCATGCGTTTACGTCCCGCACAGGGATGATGTGTTCTGAGCGTTATAATGGATTATTGAGAGCCAGTCGTATGAGACATGCACTGCCGGAGGGCGTTTACACACCGGCCTCTGGACGAGGTGAACGCTGAGGACGTTTAAACAGTCAAGATGTTAGAGGAGCTGAAGCTGATGTTCTCTCGCAGGAAAGCAGCTCCCGCATTTAAAGCTTTGGGTTCGGGATGACGAGAAGGAGAGAAATTGATGACAGAACGTACTTTTTTTTTTGACGAAGACGAATGCAACAAACAATTTGTGCTGGGCAACGATTAATCGCATCCAAAATAAAAGTTTGTATAAATCTTTTGTATATACTGTATAAATACACACACATGCATGTATACATTTATATTACAAAGAGAAATGTAATATGTATAAATATATATACACACACCAGAGATGGGGACTCGAGTCTGAGACTCGGACTCGAGTCGCACAAACGCTGACTTCAGACTTGACTCGTGACTCGACCCAAAAGACTTGTCAGCAATCTGTTTTCATGCAGTTATTGCTTTTTTAATCTAAATTCGTTTTAATGTATTTCTATTTTATTTTATTGGCGTTGGGGAAGCGTATGATATGATAAGCTGCATGTCCCCCGCCCTTTGTCATACTGTGCATGAGACAGAGCGTATTTAGGCCACGCCCACAGCGGGGGAAAACAATCCAACCGTCTCCATGGACTTTGCGTCTGTAGATTTCTCATAAATTCAACAAAAGTTGGCATTGTAAATCATCCCGATCTGCACCGTCATCACAGACAACGTTAGAAAGCTCTCTCTCTCTCTAGTTCAATGTTGTCGGATCCAAATATGGTCATTTCCAACCAATCGCGAAAGTAAAAGGGGGATTTAACTCTAAATGAGCAATCTCATTGGCCTGATGGAAATCTTTAGATCCCGTTTTGCGTTTTCTCAAATGACTTTTCTCTCAAACTCCAAGTCTGAAATCTCCACTTCAGTAGCACCGATATACCAAACCTAATACACCAAACTGTCCAGTCTTGTACCTAGTTTCATTATGAAGACTATTACAGATGGATTTGTAAATATATTATTCCTAGCTTGATTTATACAACATTGTTTTACTAAAAATATGGCGAAAATCTATTTAAGGCTATCTGATGACAGGATAACAAAAGTAGATATCCATAAATATCTATTTCCCCCCATCTATTACTGTATGTGAACACAATGAAAAAAATATTTTAAACCTGGCTTTATCTAATAGGCTACTCAGATTTCTATTTTTTTTTAAATATATGCAAATTCGCACATATTTAATTAGGCAATGCCTAATAATTTAAGACTTGAGACTTGACTTGAGCTTGCCCCTCAACGACTCGAGATTTGACTTGGACTTCCAAAAAATGACTTGTGAACATCTCTGACACACACATATTATGTAAACACAAACTTTTATTTCGAATGCGATTAATCGTTGCCCCAAAAACACAGTTCAGAAGGTCTAAAGTGTGAAGCTCATATTTTATTAAATTAAAAATATGATGTGACATCTGCAGTGATATGAGCTTGACCAGCCTGACGCTGTGCAGTATCAGAGCTCTCTGCCCATAAAACCTCATTTCCTCCCGCACACACACACTGAGCTGCTCATCTCTCCTGCTCGCTCCACAGACAGGAAACAGATGTTCCTCATTTCCTGTGTCTGTGCAGAGAGCTGGGACAATGTGGCTGAATCCATCCACAACAACACAACACAAGACCGCCGCTCAGTGGAAAACATATCTGGAAAGCAGAACCACAGCGACGGACACACCGCAGAAAAACACACCTGTGTTCACTGATATGGAGAGAATGAACACACACGTGCAGTGATTTACTGGCCTGCTGACCTCCAGCTAATTCATCTGACGTAGTGATGTTGATGAAACACACAGTGTTTGTTATACACCAGCATACACCTGTGTCTTAATTCACTGCATCACTGCTCACTTCGAGGAGCGCCGTCACTCCCGTGGATTCCTCAATGAACGAGTTGAGCTGAAGCAGCAAACGGATGTCAGCAGATGTGCTCCCGTTCGGATGGAAACCCAGCTAGTGTGAACGTCACTCAACATATGAGCCATAAATACCACAGGTTTTCATTTAATAATAAATTTAGATGGGATTCTATTCTGTCAAATAGTGGGTTGCACATTAGAGAAGCTAGGGGCAAGTTTATTCTATATAAAATTCTTAATAGATATTATTATACTCCTTCTAGGCTTTATAAAATGGGTATTGGAAACGATATTTATTGGAAATGCCAAATAGCTAAAGGTACTTGGTGATTTCTGCTTTTTGGAGCAGTGTTTTAAGCTGCATGCGGGGTTGGTTACCATGTAGGTTGCCCAAATCACCTAGACTGTGTTTACTTGGAGACAAAAGAGAAGTGCCAATGTTAAATAAACATACTTTTAAGGTGTTAAATACTGCTTTGGTAACATTCCCGACTCATTTTGAAATTTTGGAAAGAAAGAATGACTGAAAATTCTGCGTGCGAAAAGATGCTGGGAAGAGGAAGACTACATTGTACGAATTAAGTCATGAAAGAACAATGGGACAATTTCTGTACCTACATGTCTACAATTAGGGGTGTCACGATTCTCCAAATCCTCGATTCGATTAAGTTATCGATTCTAAGGTCACGATTCGATTCGATTCTCGATTTAAAAAAAAACATTTATGCATTATGCAATATAAATTTGTTCACAATGTACACTACACCATTGCCAAATTTAAAATATAATAAAAACAAGTAACATAACTTAATAGTATAACATTTAAAGCCCCTGAAATGACTAGAAAAAAAGTTTAGTTAATTTTGATGAACGAGATTGAACAATAGAGTCAGTAAAACGATCCGAACTTTCCATCACGGACGCGACATGGGGCGTGGCAGTATCGACGATACCATTTTTTTATTTTGATTTCGATACCATTGAATTAATTTCAATCGAAATCGTGACACCCCTATCTACAATGTAATTTGGACATCAGCTGTTTACAGAGATTTACATTGAACCTCACTATTTAGGTTTGTTTTATTTTAATTCATTAATTTATTTTTATTTTTTTTTTTTTTGTAAAAATAAAATGTAAAAACTCAATAAATATTTGAATAAAAAAAAAAAGAATTTAGACGTACTGTAGACGTACAGAAATGACATTTGACAGCTGTCGTTGAGCTGGGCTCTGGCCACACACGTTCAGCTTTGTAGTAAAAAACCTTCACATGTGATTTAACATGTTTAGTATGTTCAGTAATCAGCCCACAATGTAGCCGATTTGAGTTTTTACTATCCTTGTGGGGGCATGTGAGCCCCTTGTACTCTTGTACACACACACAGTGGTAGAGCAGACTTCAGATGACTGGCCTCATTTACCACAGGGAGATTTCCCGCAGATAAGGAGTTCATAACCTGGAAGTCCACAAGAGTTCAGAGATAAACACGCCGCTTCTCGTCTGCAGCTCAGCATCGGCCGTCACGCTCGTGTTCGGCTCCTCTGATGGAGGGCCGGTGAGATTTGGGCAGAAAAATAGACGCTCTGCATCAGTGCGTTTGTAAGTGCCGACGCGATAAGACTTCCTGTGTGTGTGTGTGTGTGTGTGTGTGAGGGCAGTGACAGCCGCCTGAGCGCTCCACATCACATGCTCACAAGCCATTCACACACAAACACAGATCATTTCAACACCAAGAGCATTTACCAAAGGGATACATCGAATATTAGCAATAATTCTGCTGACAACATAAAATGAGGGAAAACAGAGTATATCAAGATGAGCTTATAAAGAGAGTAGAGCAAAGGCGCTCTGCTTTCTTATCTCTCGAGTCGAGTGGCTCCTGTGTTTTTGTGTTTGCGCTCTATGAAGAGTCTCAGGTTTCCACAACCTGTTTTCGCAGCGTTGTCCAACCAATCACAGACGTGAACACGATGTCCAATCAGAAGAGCTTAAAGGGACAGTTCACCCAAAAATGAACATTACCCCATGATTTACTCACCCTCGGCCGTCTGCCGGAAGCTAGTTATTTTCCTTTATAAAGTTTGAAATATGGAGATTTTTCTTCCACACACGCATCACTTCCCTTCCGAAGGCCTTCATTAACCCCCGAGAAACACTTTTATCATGGATGGACGCGCTTTGATGGACTTCAAAACAGAAACGGCCGTTCACTGCCATTATAAAGCTTGGAAGAACCAGGACATTTTTTAACATAACTCATATAACATAAGTTGCGTTTCCATTACCCTTCAATTTGCACAAACTGAAATTGCGAAATGAAAATACACTTAATGGAAACACGTCAATTTCGCAAAAACTCCATTTATCGCAAAAAAGTTTTTACGCTCGCATGAGGAGGTTTTTCAGGCAATTCGAAAAAGGGAGTACATTTTTTTTCGAAATTTTTTTTTCGCAAAACTGCAATGGAAACGGATTTTGCGCATTTACAGTCACCTGACTTAGAAGACGGAGTGTGTTTTAGGTCCGTGTCTGCAAATATAATAATTATCATCATTAGCCTATTATAACAATTATTAGGCTACATATGTAGAAGATGCTTTTATCCAAAAAAGCAACAAAGCAATTCGTCACATCTCATTCATAGTACAGGTTGGACAATAATAATAATAGGGCTAAGATTATCACAAATAAACACTCGATTTTGACCAATATCCAAGAGTGTGTGTGGAGTTTGGAGCACTGGACGGCAGACAGACGCGGGCGCGCCGTGAACACTTTCATTTTCCTATTAAAAGTGGAATCAACTTAAAATACTCGAGCATTTCTGGTTATACAGAAAATAATAATACATTATTCGCAACTACTTTTATTTGCGTAATGTCACAATAACAAGAAAACGTTGTGCTTTTGTAAAATGACATAAAACAATCAGGCGCGCTTTATGATCTTCGTGAACTGGAGCGCGAGAACTGAACCAATAGCCTTTATAGACTAAAGCTTTAAATGTCCACTTTAAAACGAACAAATTCGAATCGTAAACTAATACCTTCTGATTATGTAATCCGTATGAAAGGTGCCGTTCTCTCTAAAGCTGCATCCGGAGATTATGTTTTTAGCTCGTTATTTTTTCCAGACGCATTTATAATAACTCACCTATACATACAGCACTGCGGGAAAAATATCATAAATATCCATGTTCTAATTTGGCCTTAGAAAACCAGTAAAATCTACATTTTTCACATATTAATTTGTAAATATTTTAAATGTTTTAAAGGGGGCAAAAAGTCATAAACAAATATCTGAAAATTCGTTGAGATGTATAGGCTATAGCGCTGCATTGGTGTGGTCAAACTAAAATGTTGGTGTTCAACTTTGCGTTTCAAAAACACAACAACCGTTCATTTTTTGTTTTGCAACGACCGTTTGGACATAATACGAGATAGAGTTCTTTATTAAATTAATAAAAAAAAAAAGAAACAATAATCACAGGAATAGCCTCTCTAAACCTCAAAGAAGTGCCATCAAGACATCGAAGCAGAAATAAGAGAGAAACACCGAGAAACTCTGTGTCTTTCCCTGCCATTAATGCTTGGATAACACACCACGTCTCCTTCCATTAATAATAATAATGTCGAGTGCGGTGCATGGCTGTGATATAGGTTATAAACAACGTCCGTTGCCTTGATTTTTGGAATGACTTATCGCGAGAGAAAAAAAAGACGCTTTAGTCGCATAACATCGGTTAATGGAAACACCGTCATTTCGCAATAGTTTTTTATCGACATCTGGAAAATATCGCAAAAGTTTTGCGCAAATCTGTAATGAAAACACGGCCATATACACCTAGAATGACTTTTGGTGATTTATGGTGAGTAAATCATTGGATAATTTTAATTTTTGGGAGAACTAGCCCTTTAAGTTAGCCAGTGGAGCATCCACCCAAACGTTTTAATTCAGCACACTTCTCATATTCATAATCTCAAACTCAAATAGTGAAGTGTAGACCATTTCATGGATTAAAACGAGTGTTTTCTCTGAACTCTACAGCGATTATTGACGTCTCTTCTGCTAGAAAGAAGAAGTGTTACTGTGTCACACACACACACGGAGCACATGCAGAGCGGTACCTCCGTCAAGACTGCGCGAGATGCGTTTGCTGGAGGTGCGCTGGAAGTAGGGCGCGGGCCGGTCGATGAGGGAGCTGGCCTGTCGCGTCTGCGCCTGCGTTCGCCCGCTGTAGCGGAACTTGGAGCCCAGGGTCAGGAACTTGCTCTTGGTGGGGTTTTCTGGAGACATCAGCCTGTGGGCAGAGCAGTGAACCACAGCGCTCACACACACGCTCAGATGGCAAACCATTCGCTCTTTCTCTCCAAAACACACATTTGGGACACGCGTGTGCAACTATTGTAGGGGTGGCCATTTTTGTTCATTTCTAGGAGATGAAAATATATATATATATTAAAATATTTTAAGACTATTACGATAATGTTGACAAATAAAAATATGGCATGAAAACTAGGGCTGGGTATTGAGACAAATTTCACAATTCGATTCAATTTCGATTATTTTGGATATCAGTTACAATAAATGGCAAATTTTCTCAAGGGAATCAAATCTCTTAACTAATGCTGTAAACTATGGGAGTCTAGTTGTAGCCTATAGGCTTCATTAGCCTAATATGAAGGTAATAATGAACTGTTTTGTAGCTACACAAACACTTAAATTACACTTTTATTTATTTTTATAAGAAGATTATATGAAATATAAACATTTAAATGGTGGCTGTCATAAAAACTTGCCAGATTTATTCAAATATGCATTAAATATTGAAGAACATTAAGATTATAATGCATATGTAATATGGTGTATATATTTAGCAAAATGCTCCTCTCTAGAGTTATTTTTTCTAGCTGACTAACGAGTTTATGTGGGTTTTCTGAGGTAAATATGACGTTGATTACAAGCTGTTTAACTGACGTCTTTCCATGGTTGAAACGCTGATTGAGTGAATCAATGTGACATGATACGGATTTGGATAAGTTGTACTCTATCTTTAACACACTTTCAGATGCTCATTCATGTTTATTTGGCGCTGTGACTGGTATTATTAAGCCGGAAGAGAGATCAGCGCTGCTGCTTCTCCAGAGCGATCTCACGCCACAGCGACAAAACCTTATTTATGTTTTTGAATTTCTAAAGAAAATTAGCGAAATTTGAAAATTGAGACTTTGTTTCATATCAATAGTAACAAAGGACAAAGATTATTGCGATTTTTTTGGATGCGCGCAGCCGCGATACAATGATCCATTCATTCGAATGAAACAGGATGACTAATCGATTCTTGAGATTTAAGAATCGATATCGGTTCGTAAAAATGAGAATCGATTAATATCGAGAAATCGATATTTATTACCCAGCCCTAATGAAAACATGAACGTACGAATACAAAAAAAATAACAGCTAGATCGTGAACATCAATATTATCGGAAAAGAAACATCTATATGAGCGTCTCAAATAACCCAATCATAGTCAATAATGTTGAAGCTGACGAACGAACGGTCGGTAAACTGCTGGATTTTGCAGGCTGGTTATTAAACTCAACCAAACGCTTATTTCAGATTAATCCGACGTAACAGTAATCGTACACAGAAATGTGCGCTGAAAAACTAAAGCAGAAAGAATTTCCTCCGTTCTGCATCTGAGGCATGTTCAATGACAGCTGCTGCCAAAAACAGAAGGAAAGGAGGATAATCCACATCATGTGTTTCGAGAGTGTGATGATGCGTGTGTGTGTGTGAGCCAAACGCAGAGGAAACACAAGACTCTTAGACGAGCTGGAGGTCTTCAGCCGATCGCCCTTCTCTCTCTCCACCCTGATCGGCCCATTACACATTAAAGGGATACTCCACTTTTTTTTGGAAATAGGTTCATTTTACAACTCCCCCAGAGTTAAACAGTCGAGTTTTACCGTTTTCGAATCAATTCAGCCGATTTTCGGATATTTGGAAGAATCAGTAACCAGACAGTTTCTGGTCTCATTGACTTTCATAGTAGGAAAAAATATATACTATGGTAGTCAATGAGACCAGAAACGGTCTGGTTACTGATATTCTTCTAAATATCAAAAAAAAAAAAAATCGTCTGAATGGATTCGAAAACGGTAAAACCCGACTGTTTAACTCTGGGGGAGTGGTAAAATAAGCCTATTTCCAAAAAAAAGTGGAGTATCCCTTTAAAAAACGTGCATTTAAAACCTTTCTTTTGGCATACTCAAAACCCTTTATGGTTTAATACCATAGACGTATACACTAGACCTCACCTTGGGGGTCTAAGCATGCGTCAAAACCGCCGCCATCTTGGAACAGGGGTCTTGTCATAGGAAGTAGCTAGGTAACGCTGCTATCTCTGCCTTTACTTCGAATTCATTGATGGTGGCGGACTTTTGTGAAGTGTATGATGTTCACGGATGAAATCTGAACTAGGAAGAATGTTTTTTAAAAAAAAAAAAAAAAGTTCCTTCTGGAATCAATGATAAATATATGTGTGACCGTTGGAACAAACCAAAAAAACGAGAAAAATCGCATTCATGATGATTTATGGTGATTGACTGTGTCTAATACATTGACGCTGATGCATTAAAGTGGAGGGGCTCCCCTGTTTCAAGATGGCGGCTCTATTGACGCAATGAACTGCCGTAGCCAAGGTGACGTCTAGTGTATACGTCTATGGTTTAATACTAGCAAGGAGGAAACGCCACTAAATCTAGACGAGGCATTGAATGAATAGACACGTGAAGGGAGATGGCCTAAGATGCACAAAACGTTTGTAGTTACAATACTGCATACTTATAATCCAGACACACTCAACTCATCCAACCATACTTTAGCAGGTGTGTGTTCACCTGAAGAAGGTGTGGTGCTCGACACACACTTTCCAAACTCTTTTGGCGGCCCGATGGTTGGGCAGCTTGAAGCCGACGGTGCTCTCGAACTGCTCCGCCTGAATCACACAGAGACATGACAACATCTGTATTACAGACACAAGCGTGTGTGTGTGTGTGTGTGTTCTGCTCAGGCGTACCTCTCCTGGCCTGATCTTGATGTAGAAGTTACTGCGTTTGTAGGAGATCTTGAGGATTTTGGGCCAAGCGAAGCGGTTTATCCGCAGACGATCCTTATAGATTAACAAACCGTTTGCACACACTCCCAACATGATGTCCACTCCCTCAGAGTCCTGACAAAAGAGAAGACCACCAGTCTTTATCGCCATCCAAACACACAACAGTGTAATAACTCGACCAGGAGAACCACAGGAAGTGTAACACACTGCAGCTGAACACCTTTTACTGCTTAATCCTGTTCTGTACACACACAACAGTCATTTACGGTACTCACAACCACATTTAAAGGATTCAGCGCAGTCGTGTACTGAACCGATTCAACAATTAGTTGAGTACAGATTCTAGTTCCTGTCTCTATGAAGCACACTGTGCTCTGATTGGTCGGCTGGATCAGTGTGTTGTGATTGGTCGAGTGTGTTTGGGAAATGTCCCGCCTCTTACCATAACTGCCAGTTTAACACACTACTAACTAACTCAACCAGGCCCCGCCCCTTTATTCAGCGCATGAATTATTATAATGAGGAATATTGTGACGTGTTCGTTCCTGGAAGAAACTCAAGACTCCAATGGAGGCGTTTCAGGAGTTCACAAACACTGATTTAGAGAAGAACTCTCAATGCTCAAACGGCAACATCACTATAGATGAACATGGAGAAAAGCAGAATAGGTGCTCTTTGACACATTTTTAGAAATAAACTGAAAATATATTTCAAAAAACTTTGTCACATGCAAAAAAATAAAATAAAAAGTGCACGAATGGTTATACACGATTGTGTTGTGCCCTGATTGTTTCTGGTTAATCATTAGTAGTTCTGTTAATAATGTCCATTAACCTAAGAAAATAATTTGGTTTGGTCCCTCAGTTTTACAGTAATACTTTACAACGGCATGAGTATAAGGCCGTGTGTCCACCAAAGCGTTTTTCCACGCACCTGGCGTACGTTTTCAATTGTTTTCAATGGGAGCGCCGCATTTTTTAAACGCCATGAGCGTAACAAGGCGCTGAGCGGATTTTTGACGTTTTTACTGGTCGCTGGGAGTTGAAAAATGTTCAACTTTGGATAAAACGCAGCGCTCATCACTGTCACTTTTTACCCAGCCGTCCAATCACAGTGGAGGAGGGGCGGGACTAATACCACACCGACCAACTGTCACAACATTCAAACTGCTGCGCATATTCCGTATCATAGCAACGAAACGCCTCGACGGAAAAAAGCAGCGCTGCCAAAACGCCCTCAAGCGCCCAAAGCACGGCGTCTTCAGCAGAGCGGCTAGCGTGTTCAACGCTTTGGTGGACACACGGCCTAAGGATGGTCTATTTTATTGTCATTAGTATATATTTTAGAATAGAATAGCACCCAGTACAACCTAAAATTGTTATTTCTTAACGTTCTAATAACATTCTTATAGCCAAGCAAGAGCATTAATACAACTGGACATTTTGAATGTTCCTAGAACATTCAGAAATAACGTTTTTATAACCTAATGGGAACGTTCTAATAACCTAAGATTGTTAGCTGGGGAAGAGGAGAGATTCGCGATTGCACTGAACACGTTTTAAGTGCAACAGTGTAAAGGGTCCGTCTGAAACAGTGACGGCGGTGCAGCGTTACGTTCGGTCTGAACGTTGTGTAATTAAATACATATATTAAAGGCGGTTTATTAAAAATGAACAATATAGCAAAAATATACACTGGTTTTTGGTGGACACACGGCCATAGTAAAGCAGGTAAGCACTCCCGAGAGTTTCACGGAGGGGAAGGCAAGCTGGTGTTCTTTTGTTGAAACACACACACACACTCAGTTCCCGAGTCAGTTTATCCTTCTGAATATCATATGAACGTTACCAGGCTGGATGCAAGTTTGCAAGTTTACTTTAAATCGAACTGTGCATGCAAGAACTTGAACAAAGAACATTCCTTTATGATAAAACTACAAAAAAGGTGGTTTTATAATCTTTCCGAACACACACATGGTTAATTCAAAGATTGAAACAATGATGCACACACATGGATAATTTCAAACCCTTAATGCAATTAGAAAGCGCATCCATCACATCTATCCCACTTATCTGAATGCGTTTAAATGGATCTGGATTGCCGGGGCTTTTGGGACGTAGGGCGCTGGTTACTGATCGGTCTGCTTTAACCGTAGAGCTCTGAGAGAAATCAATAGCGCTGATAAACAGATTGAACTCAGACTATCTGTCGCCACAAGAGGCTTTTAACAGATCTCTCACACATCAGCGCATCAGTAAGAGGGGGAACCGGCCGGCGGGCCTCGGGACACTCACAGCGCCTTTCGGGACAGCCAAGCTCAGTTAACCTTTGATTTTGAATGTTTTAGTCAACTATTCGAACCCTAACTATACAGCACCATGTGTCAGTCCTTAAAGGAGTAGTTCACTTCTGAAAAAACATTTGCTGATAATTTACTTACCCCCATGTCATCCAAGATGTCCATGTCTTTATCTCTTCAGTCGAAAAGAAATTAAGGTTTTGGATGAAAACATTCCAGGATTTTCTCCATATAATGGACATCAATGGGAACCAAACGGTTCAAGGTCCAAAAGACACTTTCAGAGCAGCTTCAAAGGGCTTTAAACGACTCCAGACGATGAATAAGGGTCTTATCTAGCGAAACGATCGCTCATTTAATAAATAAATAACAAAGTTTAAGTTTTATAAGCTCAAATGCTCGCCTTGCTCTGTTCTGTAACGCATATTTGTGACTCTCCTGTTCGAACTCGTTCATCAAAATGAACAAATCTTTTTTCGAGTCATGACTCGAAGCGTCCTAGATAAGACCCTTATTCATCGTCTGGTGTCGTTTAAAGCCCTTTGAAGCTGCACTGAACTTTCTTTTGGACCTTGAATCGTTTGGACCCCATTGAAGTCCATTATATGGAGAAAATCCTGGAATGTTTTCATCAAAAACCCTTATTTGTTTTCGACTGAAGAAAGAAAGACATGGACATCTTGGATGACATGGGGGAGAGTAAATTATCAGCAAAAGTTTTTTCAAAAGTGAACCAATCCTTTAAAGGTCATGCGGTGAAGTGAACATCACAAGCTTCACCTTCAGTCTTCAGAGAGATAAAGACAGAGTTTGGACAAGAGACTGCCATCGTTCCCACTGGAAAAAGTGCCGGAGAGCTGGTATTCCTATTAAGGGTTTAAAAATGGCAACAACATATTTTTCCCAGACTTGAACGTGCTCACACACACACACACACACAATCTGAGTGTTTGTTCAGCTGGAGTCTTCCTCTGCTGCTCTTGTCGGGTCTAGAGGTCACAGGTCAGAGATCTTACTGATAACCATAATGCACTCAAATAAAATGGCTGATCCATGTAAGCGGCCGAATGAGTGAATAATGTGAAAGCGAATCACGCTGGAACTGGACTGCTATAGACTGTGACCTTCATCAAAAACTCCTAAGGACCAGCGTCCTGCAGAGGTCAGCTCCAAACACACTTAAACACACCTGAACCGGCTAGCCAAGCCGTATTGGAACGCTAACTGTACCTGTTAAACACATTTCATGGCATATCAGTGATAAGGAGCGAGTTTTGTAATCCCACAAACCTAAATTAAAAATAATGCTCTAATTATCATTTAATAATTTAATTCTCACTTTTAAAAATAGGAAGCTAGATGCACATATGCTATATTCCAAAGGGTTCTCAGATTCTTGCATTTTATCTAAAAAGGATGTCATTTAACAAATTAGCAGAAACATGGAAACGCAGCGAGGTAAACATAAAGCTGCATGTTTGTATTTTTAATCTCGAGCATCAGTCCATAATAGCCTACATATTGAGCTGTTTTCTCTTTCTCTAGTGTTCGCTGAGGTGGAGCGGTCACGAAATATTGGTCTCGTAAAAATTTCCAATAATAAAGTACATCTTTAAAATGCATTCACAACACAGTTAAGCGCAGCCTTTTATCGTACGGTGCTCGGCAGTGGTAAAACAGGACGAAAACAGTGATTTTTTTTATTGATCTCTCTCTGAAACTCGGATATGTGGATTTGGACAGAAATCCCGGCATGACCTTGGTGTTTGTCAAAAACAGTAGTTCGTAATTCAGCTGGGGATTTTCACACTGATTTTATTGCCGTCCGAATCCAGAATGTCAGACTAAAGGCCCTTGCACACTGAGTCTGCATGTTAAAAAATTAGGGCTGTGCAAAAATTAATTGCGATTAATCGCATCCAAAGTAAAAGTCTGTGTTTACATAATATATTTGTGTGTGCTGTATATAATTATTTTGTATATATAAATACACACACATGCATGTATATATTTAAGAAAATGTGTTATTCATAAATAACAATATTTATATAATATAGATTATCTATTTTTATATGTATATATATATATATATTAGGGCTGTGCAAAAATTAATTGCGATTAATCGCATCCAAAATAAAAGTCTGTTTACATAATATATTTGTGTGTGCTGTATATAATTATTTTGTATATATAAATACCTATGCATGCATGTATACATTTAAAAATTATTTCTGCTTAAATTCTGTATATATATATATATATATAAATACATAATCTATATTATATAAATATTTTATATATGAATAACACATTTTCTTAAATATATACATGCATGTGTGTGTATTTATATATACAAAATAATTATATACAGCACACACAAATATATTATGTAAACACAGACTTTTATTTTGGATGCGATTAATCGCAATTAATTTTTGCACAGCCCTAATATAAATATATATATATATATATATATATATATATATATACACACAGAATTTAAGCGCAAATAATTCTTAAATATATACATGCATGCATAGGTATTTATATATACAAAATAATTATATGCAGCACACACAAATATATTATGTAAACACAGACTTTTATTTTGGATGCGATTAATCGCGATTAATTTTTGCACAGCCTTATCAAAATGACATACTTGAACAGTGAACTTTTTGAATGGTGTTTTGACAATTCAGAGCCACCGAATCACGAATACGAAAAACGCATATGGAAATTTGCGGCCTTAAATGCTGAAAACACCTGACGACCCCATGAGAAACAATTAGCGTCGGAATAGGGCTTTCCTAGGCATGCTGGGAGCTTCCAGACAGTGGGATCTGAGAACATGAGAGAGCATCTGGAGATCTTCTACCTTGGCGTGATGCAGGTCTACGCCGTACATGGACAGCTTCTTCGCATTCTCCAAAAACTGGGCGTCTGCTTGGGCTGGAGTCATTCCCCTGAAAGAACAGGTGGAGACATCAGATATCTGTCATCAGCACACAGCAGATTTACACCTCATAATCCTGTGATCATGACACACACGAGGACTGATGTATTTAACATAAGAACAGATATTCCTGCGGTCCAGCCTGATTTGAGCCAATCGTTGCCATCGTGACATGATGCCAAAATCAATCCGTTTACAGTTATTATTTCAACATTTATATGAATTGTGAGGTCTGTTTTAAGGCACTGTATGTCTATTGAGAACAGACTCATGCATGTCAGATTCTTCAAACCCTCGCACACACCTGACTCGACCGCATACAGGGTAACTGCACGCTCAAACACCTCAGACATGTTTCATTCATATTAATAAGAAAGTAAGAAGGCAATAAACAGGTTATTGTTCCAAAACTAGTAAAATCTCTAAATAAAATGTGTTGAACAATACTCTTCTTCATTCTTTCCGGTGACAGTGACAGTGTGGAAGTCAATGCCAAACACAGTTTATTGTGTAACCTGTGAAATACCAATAATATCCAGGAAAAAAATGCAGATTTTTTATTTTGAAATCTCCTCGCTTTTCTACTGCTGGCTGCTCGTTAAAACAGACGAGTAAGATCAAATACACACTCTTTCAATAATCTACAGCATATTCCAAACAAACACCATGAAGAAATGTGGTCAATCATAAGCACTCGCTTGGCATAAACTGCATGTGTGGTATTCAGAGATTCTGACGTATCTGTAGAATCAATTCATTTTATTACATCATCATTTTCAAGTTTAATAATCACATTAAGCCATGCTCAAGTTTAAGAGCTCTTAGAAATGATTAAAATTGTAAGATATTTAAGATTTTAACATAATTATGCATCCGCAGTGTGTATTGTGGTCAAATTCCAGCCACTCCGTTTTACTCCCCATAAATCAGAAACTATCTCTCAAAATGCCTTTGTGCCGTCACATGCAGCAAGCCCCGCCCACGATGGGCCCTATTAACTTAGCTCCTCCCCCAAGTGAGTCGTACACCATCCCCCATGTTTATGTCCTCGATACAGCATCGAACAGCAGCATTCAAGAAATTAATGATGCAATTTTACAATATCTTGCAGGGCTTGACATTAAAGGAGAACTCCGGTGCAAGATGAACCTTTGGTCTAATTACACATTGTTACCTAGTCAACTGTTATCTGAGATTTGTTTTCATGATTGCCGAATGTAAATAGTTTTATCTCTAAAAACAGTTTAGCCTATAACGCTAGTATAACACTAGTATATGGGGCATAGAGTAATGACAAGTAAAAATCGCTTGTTATTACCACTAACAAGGCTCAAAATAGCCCCACACTAACACAACAGCATAATAAGGGTCCCTACATACAAACCGAAGCATTGAGAACTTTGTCAGTGTCCAAACAGTTTAATAAGAAGATATTTTATACACACAGTCAACTTCGCGAATACAGGAAGAAGCCATCTTTGAAAAATAGTCTCTACCAGTCGATCTACGAACGCCGATCCAAGTGCGCTGAACTGTGCAGAATCTCATATGGTCCGTTGTTTCCAGAAGAAACACAAACACGAACCGTTTTCTACTCTTCAATATGTACATGTATAATACTGTTCGCGCTCACCTTATCACCTTATTCACATCTCACCAGCGCACTTGGATAAACTGTTTTTAGAGATAAAACTATTTACATTCGCCAATCATGAAAACAAATCTCAGATAACGGTTGACTAGGTAACAATGTGTAATAGACCCCTTTTGCGCCGACGTCACAGTTACGTCACGGCGCTAGCTGGAGGCAAAACAAAGTGAAAACTGGAGGCGGTCAATACAAACCAGCACAGATTCGGATACATAATAAAGAGCTTAAATGATTGTTACTATTATTAAATGTCATCTTGTTGTGTTGTTTGGCGCAAGAATTGATGAAAAATGAATATGCTGTATCTGGAACTTTTATTTCTAGAAAATATTCACATCATTAAAAATGGCAACGTAATGTCACTCTTTACATTGTCGTGGTCTCGGCGCTGAACTGCGGATCGTACACACAAGTCTTGTACAGGACCATATAGGCATCTAAAGATTTATACGCCCTCAGTTTCTCTTTACGATCGGTTTCTCTGTAAGTGTAGAAGTCAGGCCACTCAACCGAGGTAATGTACGTTAATCCTGTCAGATCGTCCATGCATTGAGTGAGCGTGTAGGCGGTTACGGGTCGGCCAATCTGGTTCTGTCCGTTAAAAATAACTTTTGGAAATAACAATCGCAGTCCTGGACACTGAGTGACCTTACTCATTAAGATAATATCGGATTTTCTCCAGTCATTGTTAAAAAACAAGCGAACAATCCTTGCTAACTAGCGTTAGTGAAGCGGCCAGAGGGATCGTTCTGCCTCCACCGAAGCTCCGCCCACAAAAAAACGTCACCATGTTTACCAACTGTAAAAGGGTCTTTTAGACCAAAGGTTCATTTTGCGTTGGAGCTCTCCTTGAACTTTTTGAGGCACTTGTCCTTCAGACAAGTAAATTTATGTTTCACTTGTCCATTCACAAAAGTCAATTGTCAGGGTAAAGATTTATAATTTTATCTAGGGCTGCACGATTTGGGGAAAATGTCATATTGCGATTATTAAGGTCAATATTGCAGTTGTGATATGCGATTGCGATATAATAAACAAATGGTTTCATGAGTCAACTTCTTTGGTTCTAAACCCAATGCACACACAGATTAGTGATGATTCTGAAATTAGCAATAACAACTAAATGATTGATGACACCTATAACGACCAATAAGCCTGTCTAACACTGTCTAACAGGTAGGACATATACAGAAATTGAATAAAGTTATCAAACAGTCTGCGCTGCATCAATTATAAATGATATATAGACTACTCCTTATTAAAGCTACACAAGTTCTTTAGTCAAGAGCAGTGAGTAAATTTCTCTGTTCCCTTTGTTATTTCATTAACTTTACTGACAGAACGCTTTATTGGTAGCTGGCCCTTTAAAGGGTTAGTTCACCCAAAAATGAAAATTCTGTCAGTATTTACTCACCCTCATGTTGTTCCAACCCCGTAAGACCTTCGTTCATCTTCACAACACAAATTAAGATATTTAAGATATTAAGATCGCTCCTGTATACTAGTCCATAGGCTTCTTGAGGGAATGGCTCTTGCTGTCCTCGAAAAGTCATTAAAGACATCGTTAAAATAGTCCAAGTGACTACAGTGGCTCAATCTTAACTTTATCAAACGACGAGAACACTTTTGTGCGCAAAAAAACAACAAAAATAACGACTTTATTTCAACTATTCGTTTATTTCTCCATGAGCCTGTAAGTCAGTTTACGTAGTGTGATTGCGTAGAGCTACGTCACACGTAGGCTCACTATTGGCCGACGCTGGTCATGTGTGTGATGCGTGTGACGTACAATAACAGAAGCTTACGCTATTAAACTAGTAACCTGACTCGCGCAGAGGGAGAAATAAACGAATAGTTGAAATAAAGTCGTTATTTTTGTTGTTTTTTTGCGCACAAAAGTGTTCTCGTCGTTTGATAAACCTTAGATTGAGCCCCTGTAGTCACTTGGACTATTTTAACGATGTCTTTAATGACTTTTCGAGGACAGCAAGAGTCATTCCCTCAAGAGGCCTATGGACTAGTATGCAGGAGCGATTTTAATATCTTAAATATCTTAATTTGTGTTGTGAAGATGAACGAAGGTCTTACGGGGTTGGAACAACATGAGGGTGAGTAAATACTGACAGAATTTTCATTTTTGGGTGAACTAACCCTTTAAGAGCTGCCGCGGATCTCACACGAGTCACAACTCGTTATGTCCATCATAAGACTGCTCTCATCTTATGAAGATACTCGACAAATGACTTTTTGGCTTAATTGTGTGTGTTGATGTTCGTTCAAGCGCGAAAGAGAGTCTTTCTGTGAGTCACACTCAGGACATTCACAGGCAGCGCGAAAAATTTGTTCGTTTCAAATCGGTAAAATTAAAACAGTAACGAGTGGCACATAGCGTGAAGTCACATGGCATTTTATTTTGTCTGAAATTTAACTTGTCCGGTCGGACAACTAATTTTCTCTTCTACTTGTCCTACAAAAAAATCCACTTGTCACGGACAAGCCTTAACGTCGAGCCCCGTCTTGTAAAAAGGGGCATAACAAGTCCAGAGAAGCTGCAGTCAGACCTGTGTGACTTGTGCAGCTCCACCACCTTCTCCTCCAGCTCCTTGGTCTGGTTGGGGGCGAACTGCAGGTCGGAGATGTAGTCCAGGCGATGCTCGTCCGGGTCGTGGTCGCCCAGCTCGGCCTGCAGGGAGTACGAGCCCAGCAGCGCGTGTGTGACGAACGAACACGGCAGACGTCCCGACGCGATGTCCTGCCTCAGCTGAAGGCATAACAGATACCTGGAGAGAGAAGACCACACACCAAACTCAATATTACGGACCACAATTAACAAGCACGACACTGGGGGGAGATCCCGTCTACCTGGTGATGTCCTCGGTCAGCTGGGACGGGTCAGGGGGGTAGAACTTCACACTGAACGCAAACTGCCACTGAGAGTCTAGTGCAAAACACACAGAGAGAGAGATTAAAACAACATCACTTCCTACAGTAGAGCGTCTCTGGCTTCAGTCCTTCCTGACAACTACACTAATGTGTGTGTGTGTGCGAGAGAGAGAGTTTCTTATAAGGGACACGGAAGCAAGCAGATGTGCCATTCAGCTACAGGCTGGAGGGATTGTGGGATTACGAAGGAGTGTGTTCAGGCCAATACACACCAACACTTCACTAGTGATGAGGTGCGCTCAGATACGGTGTCGCTTTTGTCCGTTGGCTTCAGTATGCCAGTCCGGCCAATAAAACACACAGATGTCGACATCAACTACCTGTGTTTACTGTAGGCTGTGACCTCGTGTACTTTTGCTGAGGGTTTTTGAGGATGAGGAGTTTGCCACAGAACCTGTTCACGTTGACATCCAAGCATGATCGGGGGGGGAAAAAATCATATGAATGATGTCACACAACTGCTGGACTGCTCATCATTAGTGATGCGACCCGTTTTGTTGACCAATGTCTGTTCAGTAGATCGTCAAATAAGAAAATTCACTCAATTGTGTAAGTTTTTGGAATAATAAATGTGATGATGTAGGGTGGGCGGCTTTCTGGCTCCTTCGGCAAACATTTTTCTCATCTAATAAAGTGTTTGAAGTCTCAATCAAAATGTTTCACAATTGCAACCCAGTTAGCTATAAATTTGCTAAATTCAATAATAGTATTTCCCCCTCGTGCTCCTTTTGTCATCGGTTTGATGAAACGATTATTCATTTGTTTTGGGAATGTGTGTATTGCAAAATCTTTTTGATTGATTTTTCAAATTTTATTAAAAGGTATCTTTCTTTAGACTTCTGTGTAAACCAAAAAATTATGTTTTTTGGTGACTATGAAAGTAGACCCCTTTCATTCTAAATGTGTCCTTAATTTGCTACTTTTTCTTGCCAAATTTTATATTCACAAGTGTAAATTTTCAAAGAAAACTCCTTTTTTATTTTTAAGAAAGATATTGTTAAGTATTTAAATTCATTGAAGAACTCTAAAAACTCTACTGCATGTAAGACTCTGCAATATTGTCGATCATTTAAGCTTGTTTAATGTTATTGAAGTTTATGGAATGTAACCCTCTGTTTTATTGTATTGTATATTAATGTCTTGATTTGTATTTGTTATTTCTGCATAAAAAAATTTTAAAAATAGTGATGCGACCCAAATCTATACATTCTGGGCACACGGGGGCAAAATGCTTATTAAAATGAAACTATCTAGAGTAATTCAATTCATGTTATTGATCTGGGTTGTTACACCGACTTCCTTCAATAAGTTTGACTTAATGAGAACACACAGAATCCATAGATAACACTATAGTTTTAATGTAAAGGACATTTGACATTTCCTGTGAATCAAACAGGTGAAACGTTTCTGTTAGCAGATCTAATGTTAAGTTCCTATTTATTAGAGCCAGCCGATATTATCGGCCGATATTAGGCATTTTCCAAAATATCGGTATCGGCCGTTATAATGGCCGATAAATGAATACTTAAAAAATAAAATAAAAACGGACGAAACACACTTCAATCATCTCTCCTCGGCCTGTTATATTGAAAATGTATGTTTTACAATTTGCAGTATGACGTTATCTATTGCTAATCATAGACTAGCTAACCACAAAGCTAGCTAATGCCACTATCATCAGTGGAAGACCGCTAACGTTAACATTAATGAGCTTGGAAACCACAATGAACTTTTTCTGCCTAAATAAAGTAATGATTACTGTATTTATAACTAGCATATCTCTAGTTACAGTCCCTGCATTGTAAAATGTAAGTTATACTTGCGAGGAGTGAACATTTGGACATAGAGAAAAAGCATCAAACGTATCTTGTGCAGAAAAGTTAGCTTTTCTTTTACACGTGTGTGAAATCCAGCAATATTTAATAAAAAATAAAATATCGGCCGATATATCGGAATATCGGATTTTAAAACCCAAAAATATTTGTATCGGTTACCAAAATCCTCTACTATTTATACTGTATTTGAAATGCAATTGATGAAGGCATTTCATATAATGTATAAAAAAATCAGTCTGCAAAGACTCATCTAGAGCTGGTTGGTGTCATGGCTGACCCGAATGCCAGAAGCGGGACGGCTGACGCTCTGCTGGGTCAGTGGAAGGAAATGAGGTTAATATAATCCATGAGCGCATTCACAAAGCAGACATAAAATAATAAATGCAAGAATGAGTGGAATGAACTCTCGGCATGTACGCTGGCTCACTGATCGTTCTGCTGCGGCTGACTCGGGGTCAGAGGTCAGGACGCAGCTAAACAAAGTCAACCTCATTCTCTCAGAGTCTGTCTTTGGAAACGGGGACACAGCTGCCATTTTTATAGACGTGTCCTTCTCTCTCTCTCTGTCCTGTTTTTCTATTTTCAGCTCTCCTCCAGACGCTCTACAGTCATAAAAGCAGATAAGACGTCTGATTCACCTGTGTGTGTGTGTGTGTGTGTGTCAGATATCAAACAATGGCTCAGTTTATAGTGTAAGAGGAAGTGTCCAGCACACTCACCTTCAGTCCAGTGCTGTAAAAGCGGATCTGAACCCTATGAGGATACAGTATTGTGTTTGACTTGAACGCTCTGTCTGTGTGAGACTTCACTGCTGTGATTGGCAGACATCTTTACTCATCAAATAAGTATAGCTATAAGTAATAATTAAGCTGGCAAGGTTAACTAATCGTGGAAAATGTCGATTTTTTTTAGATCTACTCTCGTGGTGACTAGCTTGAAGCCAATGACAGACATGACTGTTGCGTCATTGGTTATAACAGGAGTTTTGGCAAGAGCCCAAACTCACACGGTTTGATTAACAACTCCAACGATTTAAATAATTTATTATTATATTTCATAATTATATTCACTTATTTTCATGCTACTAAGAGAAACAATGTTGATCGTTTAGTCACTGACTTGATTTATTGATTGATAAACAGCACTAAATGATTTTGAGACGATGAATGTATGAATCATTATATATCAGAAATCACTGGTCACAGATCAGGCAAAAGAACTAACATGGCCACTTGCATGTTGGGGCGTCGCCTGTTTGCAAAGCCTGCGCCGGAATTGCGACTGATTTGCCAAAGAATGCACCAAACAAATAAGCTCTTTCTTAGAGTTAGGATCCTTTGGGTCGGCGGGGCTTAAGACATGATGTGGAAGTAGGCGTTTATCCATCGCACTATGGTGTCATCATGTGACAGAATCCAAAACGAGTCATTTTCAGAGCTTGGTTTCAATGAAAGACGTTTTTGGACTAACGAGGAAGTTTGGAGTTCTGAAACTTAACGGATGTTTTCATAGTACAATGACCTCTTAGATTAAGGAAAATTTGATTTTCCAACTCATGGCCCCTTTAAAACTACAGCGCTTTGATCACAAACCTACTTTAAATATCATTTAAGACACATTGGCTGATACTGATATTCAAGTATCTGTTATAAAGATCTTATTTGCGCTTTAACTTGTCCATATGAATATCAGTATCAGCAGCAAATTGCATATTTTTGCTCAGTTTGGGCTTTTGAATAAAATGTTGGCTCCATATTCTAACTATATAAGACTACATGAAGCCACAAAAGCCTCATGTATCAAATGATACTTAAAGGGATACTCCACTTTTTTTGGAAATAGGCTCATTTTACCACTCCCCCAGAGTTAAACAGTACCGTTTTCGATTGAATTCAGCTGATTTTCTGATATTTAGAAGAGTAACCAGACAGTTTCTGGTCTCATTGACTTCCATAGTAGGAAAAAATATATACTATGGTAGTCAATGAGACCAGAAACGGTCTGGTTACTGATATTCTTCTAAATATCAGAAAATTCATTCGAAAACGGTAAAACACAATTGTTTAACTCTGGGGGAGTTGTAAAATGAGCCTATTTCCAAAAAACAGTGGAGTATCCCTTTAAAAAACATATGCAAACTTTGACAATTCATGTGACGTCACGCCACATGGCGCGAAATGCAAATGGAGGGCAGGAAGTGATTTGCTGTATTTAGAAAGCACTATAACAAACTCAAAATGAAGGAGTTTTTTATCGTGTGCCAAAACAAGGAGTTTTTTATCGTGTGCCAAAAGTTGTTGTTCATAAGGGGGAAAATACAAGAAATTGATCGAAAAACTTGGCTTGCAAACCTACGTCTGCAGTCGTGAGGAGCCGAATGGGATAATGCTCGTGTATGTAACGTTAGTGATCACTTCGTCAAACTTAAGTGACTGTTTGTGTAACGTTTCAGTCCTTTCTAAAGTCAAAGTATGTCTGTAAGACGAGTTTGTTGCTGATATCTACCTGAAAAGGATCACGTCCAACATATGTTTGATTTTTGTTTATATCTTTCTCGTGTAATAGCGTGTAACGTAGTGCAATACGGACTTTCCTCCATCTCGTCCATTGCGCTCTTCCCTGCCCTCCATCTGAATTCCACGCGTCATCATAATCACGTGACTGAAACCCAGCTATTATAAGATCTGTCAGGCTCTACAGGGTTAAAAGCTTTAAGGCAGCACAGCTCAACCGAAGTGTGATTGATCCCTCTAAGGAGACCAGTCAGCTGACAGAACGCATACGAGCTGTGTTTCTGAATGCGGTGTGAATGAGGAATCCACCCAGTGTGCTTCATTCCAGCGCTCTGATAATTACAGCTGTTGAGCCAGAGACTGAATCACACAAACCCACCCAGACCAAACCCCCATCATCTGCCTGACTGATCACATGAGGGAAAGAGAAGGAGACGGCACGTACTGCGGATCTGCCGCTTGATTTCCTTGGTAGGGTCCAGCCAGCACTGCAACAGAAAAACACAGAGTCAATAAAGCAGCTGCACTCCACCATCGAGATCTGAACTAAACAAACCATTCTGTGACCGTGAGCTCATTCTCTGCAGAGACGAACAGAGTCTGGGTCCCTAAAGTCACCATTGCACCTGATCTTGACAGTGGACTCCTCTGTCTACTTTGAGACGGCATCTCAACCCAGTTTTTCCTTATCAACCCAGACCACTGTAAATATTTGAATTATATCATTTAAAACTAGTATATTTCTCTTATTAATTTTGACCGCTTAATTTCCACTGCGTGTGGCTTTGTATGGCAAGTCTGTGTACAGCTTTAAAAGATCTTGGTTAATGAATCTCTTTGCTATTTGCATAGATCTAGCTGAACAAGGGTCCTATGATTTCAGTCACGCAGAATCACGAAAACCAGTCATAAAATGCAAATTGAACCAACCGTGTTAACGCTGAATATCATCAATGTTAAAGTGCTCAAAGACATGTGTCTGAAACATAAGGTCTCCATTACTGGCTCAATCAGATTTACTGAGAGACTAATGACCGAACAAACCTAGAAAACAACACGCCACACCAATCCCATGAAACTTCATGCTTCATCCCCAATGGCTCCTACTGATCACAGCTAATCAATACCAGTGTTTGTTCATAGGGCTGGGTATTGACACAAACTTCACAATTCGATTATGATTCACAAGCTTGCAATTCGATTCAATTTCGATTCGATATCGATTATTTTGGATATCAGTTACAATAAATGGCAGTTTTTCTCAAGGAAATCAAATCTCTTAAATGCTGTAAACTATGGGAGTCTAGTTGTAGCCTATAGGCTTCATTAGCCTAATATGAAGGTAATAATGAATGAATCACTTAAATGACACTTTTATTTATTCTTATAATAAGATTATATGAAATATAAACATTTAAATGGTGGCTGTCATAAAAACTTGCCAGATTTATTCAAATATGCATTAAATATTGAAGAACATTAAGATTATAATGCATATGTAATATGGTGTATATATTTAGCAAAATGCTCCTCTCTAGAGTTATTTTTTCTAGCTGACTCGAGTTTATGTGGGTTTTCTGAGGTAAATATGACGACATTGATTACAAGCTCTTTAACTGACGTCTTTCCACGGTTGAAACGCTGATTGAGCGAATCAATGTGACATGATACGGATTTGGATAAGTTGTACTCTATCTTTAACACACTTTCAGATGCTCCTTCATGTTTATTTGGCGCTGTGACTGGTATTATTAACCCGGAAGAGAGATCAGCGCTGCTGCTTCTCCAGAGAGATCTCACGCCACAGCGACAAAACGCTATTTATGTTTTTGAATTTCTAAAGAAAATGGACGTAATTTGAAAATTGAGACTTTGTTTCATATCAATAGTAACAAAGGACAAAGATTATTGTGATTTTTTTGCCGCGATACAATGATCCATTCATTCAAATGAAACAGGATGACTAATCGATTCTTGAGATTTAAGAATCGATATCGGTTCGTAAAAATGAGAATCGATTAATATCGAGAAATCGATATTTATTACCCAGCCCTATTTGTTCAGTATCAGTGCTTTGGATTCGAGCTGAATGAGACTATTCATTTAAAACTAGATACCTTTTTATTTTTCTATTAACACAGTTTGTGCTTGTTAGACTTGGTAAGGCATGTTCTTAGGGTAGCGTTTCCCACATATGTTCGCTTAGTCTGGCATCATCAAATATAGCCCTGATGTCTTGTTCCCGCGGAAGATGGAATGCGTCAGCTGCTTTTGCTAATGTTTTATTTAACATTTAACCACCACACCACCGGCAGTAATCGGCCCGTTACACCCACGGCCACTGCCACGACCCTAGTGCCGATGTGACCTCTGTTTCCCATAAAGCATCAGAGGAACACAGAGCTCGAGTCACATGGACTGCTGTTAAGGTGTGTGAACTCACCCTCTGCTCAGCGTTGTCTTTAAAGCTCAGGCCGAAGTAGTCCTTCTCTATCAGATTCAGGTGTTCGCAGACTTCAAAAAACAGGTACTGGCCTTTTGCCCGTTTCTGAAAACACACAGAGGAAGAAAGATGAGTGGAATATGTTATTCATAGACAATGTTGTGGTGCTCATCCAAGTCGCTTCATTAGCTGCAGAACCATTTATCATGAGGGAACGGTTCAATAATCGCCTTTACGTCATTCCAAACCTGTATGATTTTCTTCTGTGATTTTTAGAGAAACCAAAGGCAATGAGGTTTGGAACAACATGATGGTGAGTAAATGAGGGCAGAAGAGTCGGCACTTGAAGTATTCCCGTAAATGCCAGCGCTGGCGCTGTAATGAGTCTGAATGGAGACTGAAGCGCCGGCTCATAATGGGCCTGTTGAGATTCGGTTGATTCATCTCGATAGCGTGAGTGTTGGTGTGACTCCTGAGGAATGAGAGGCCTGGTTGCAGTCCCTCTCTCCTCTCCAGACACCAGGAGCTTCCAGCATTAGTCATTGAGGAAGATCTGCATTCTTCGATCTGCTCGCCCACCCATACGCCAGACCCTCATGCGTTCTCTAAGCCATCAGTCGAGGTTTCTTGCACCAAAACACTGTTAAAAGTAGCTGCGTCCACGCCAAACACAAGAGGAATGATATCGTTTGAGTCACTTTCTGATGAACAATAAAAACATTAAAGCAAGATGGATTCTGATTTACTGATTGTCAAAGAGATCAGGCATTTAAGGCGGCAGAGGACAAAACTGCAGCTCGCTTTTAACAAACCGAACAATATTGTGTTGGAGTGGACGTTAATATAATCCCTGTTCTTGGTGTGAACAGAACATTTTTAATGCGGTGTGTGTTGAAAAAAATCAGGATGGAAATGAGAATTTTGGGAGAAAATTAGAAATTCGTACTTGTGTAGTTATTAGAATCGTTCATATGTGAATTAATCAGGATCGCAGAACTGCTTAAATAAGAAAATATTCCTGAGGAACAAAAGACAGCTAACGTACTTAAAACAGATATTCGTGTGAAACCAACAACACGTTCCCCATGGATAAAATGGATCATGACGGAAAACGTACAGCTCATTCAGTCAAACTGAAAAATAAGGATGATTTATAAATGCAAACTATCATTTGAAATGATTCGTTTCAGTACTTTTGAAAACGAGAAGTTTCCTGAACCAAAGGTTCCAACAATAATTTGAATGAAACGCAGTAAATTGTTCGAAAAAAGGTGGATATGACCATGTCAATTAAACTGACTGCGTGTCTACTGTACCTTTAACCCTCAGGTGCTCTTCGGTCATTTCTGACCGAAAAAATTTCTGTTTTGAATTTCTAAAAATCACAGCTTCATCAGAATGTTATGAAACTTGGTGACTTTTATGGCATTATGTATGTGAATACAAAAAAATATTGAGGTCATGATCTGAGCAGACTAAGTGGTCATAAAAAATAGTCACACTTGTGGTCTTCCGACCCATAGGAAATGAATGGGAAATTGACAAAAAAAAAAAAAAAAAAAAAAATCTCAGAATTTTTGTACATGCAATCTACAAATTGGCCACAATTCTAAAAAAAAAAAACTGCAGGAAAGGGGTGACACTCTACAACATCTAGAGTGCCAAACACACAAACATACAAACATACTTTTATACACACCAATAATTTGATTACAAAAAGTATGTTTTGAATTTTTAAAAATCACAGCTTCGTCGGAGTGTTACGAAACTTGGTGACTTTTATGGCATTATGTATGTGAACACACAAAAAAAGGTCATGATCTGAGCTTGCTAAGTGGTCTTAAAAAAAAAAAAAACACTTGTGGTCTTTGGTCAAAAATGACCCCCATAGGAAATGAATGGGTAATTGACAAAAACACAAAAATTCACAGTTTTTATTTTATTTTTTATTTTTTTTAAATTTTTTTAATAAAAAAATTTAGATTGTTTCAACTATATATTCAAATCCACCAAAAAAAAAATGTGTTCATAAAAAGCTGGGGAATTCACATGCCGAAAATAGACCATAAATATTAGTGAATTCCATCAAATTGTCTCAAAATACTAAATTGCAAAGAATAAATATTATAGAACAAAAATAAATTGCATTGGGTTTACTGGGATGGAGGAAATTTAATGTAAGTGTCCGGTCACTTTTGACCGGGAGGATAACAAGTGTGACTCCGAAACGAATCGCACCTGAGGCTTAAGACTTGGACTATATTCTTAAAAGATATGACTGTGGAGATTGCTGTAATATCATAATCATGATAAATGTCCTTGTTTTTCAGTTCGGTCTCAGTAAATGTTCTGGATGGATTGGAGAGGAAGTGTTGAGCTGTGAATGGTACTCAAAGAGCAGGGAAGTTTGGTCCCATTTCTACAGTATAAGTCTAAGTGAAGGTCATATCAACACAAACAAACACCAAAGAGTGCTTGTTTAAGGTTTTAATGTTTCTTATTATGACATGAGACAAAACCCCATAAGCTGCTGTTTTGGATGCAATTACACCGACTAATCCGTTCCAAGCGTTCACTCGCACCAGATTTACTGATGAGTGATCAGATGTTATGCTCCGTAAACTCGACACACACACACACACACACACAAAGATGCTGCTAATGGATTTCAGTTTCCAGTGGATCAATAGTGGACAACAGCAGGCCTGCATTAGTGAAAAGTGCATTAGGGGAAGGACAAGTGCAAACAAACACCGACGCTCATCTGACTGCACAGCTGCCTGATGATGAATGATGATGATGTGTTAATGGCTGAAGAAAGCCACAGGTGGAGACATGTTCTCATGGTGTCGGCACAACAAACCAGAGAGATGTACAGCTACTGGCTCAAAACAACACATGAATGTCAGCTGACCTAGAGCAGATCACAGATCAAGCAATGACTGCGCTCAGGCGTCAGAGAGAGACAACTATGAGGATAAAGAAACATGGAGGAATGTGAAGATAAAGAGCAGGGGTTGCTCTACATTAAAAAGAGATAATAAAAGCACAATACCCAATACAGTATGTGTATGTAATTTCAAAAAATTGCGCCAGCGTTAGTGTTTGTATGCGTGTTCCACATCCATAATTGCAAATGGGATGCAAATACAACTCTATGTACATAAATGTATCAAATAACCATACCGAGACGTACTGGTCCATTCTCATTTGTGTTTATCCTGCCGGAGTCTCTTCGTACTATTTATATATTCCGATTCAAACGTACGGCTGAATGACATTCAAAACAGCGGTTTCTCTCAATCTCTCAGTACCGACTGCCATAGGTATCAAGTTACGCCCTCATCCAAAGGCAGGGCGGGGATATGCAGCTCATTTGCATTTAAGGTGGTATACACCAAAACAGCTCATTTTTAAACAGGCCCCAAAAATGACTTTCAAATGGTTATATTAAATTAACTATGGGGTATTTTGAGCTGAAACTTCACAAATACATTCTGGGGACACCTGAGACCAATATTACATCTCGTAAAAAGGGGCATAATAGGAGGATCTTTTGTGACGTCATTGTTTACGTTTGTCGCGTTGCATCGTGGGAATCGTGTGGCAAGAAATCCCGCTAGATACCTGTAATTTGATTGTTTTGCAAGTTTGGAGGAGGATTTAGAGAAGAGGATGGTTCAGTCTTGCTGTGTGTTCGATTGTACGGCTTGTTGGGGGCCTGATAAAAAGTTTTTCATTTTAAATAAATTAATAAATAAGAACACTGATCAATGAAGACTTACCCGGCTTTGCAGCGAGCAGTGACTAGGGTTGGGTATCGTTTGAATTTGAACGATTCTGATTCCGATTCTGATTCCTTCTTTCGATTCCGGTTCCTAACGATTCTCGATTCCGATTCTTTTAAGATGCAGGGTCAAAAAAGTTTAGCTAACCTTGCTAACCAACGGCCTT